AAACTTGTATTTGAGTATTTAAATGGTTTTTTGAACAGAGCTTTGTATATTTGAAGCTTTCAAAGCATTAATTGCCGTACTTGCGAAACGTCACACTTGCGAAACGTCACACTTGCGAAACGTCACACTTGCGAAACGTCACACTTGCGAAACGTCACACTTGCGAAACGTCACACTTTCGAAACGTCGTCTTCCGAAACGTCGCGGTGCCAAAAATTCAGGAAATTCAGGAATTGAACATGCAAAATGTCAATTCGTGTCGAAACCCACCAAATAGTAGTACTGTATGCTCCTTTAAAAAACTTTTTTTTTCTCGTATTTATCTTTTGATTTTTTTCTTATTCTGCTAGTTTTTTTGTCCATTTATAATGCAAAAGATGGAAAGTTTTGTGAATAATCCAAAAGACGCCGAAAGATTCGGCACCTTCATCTAGCCAAGTTTCCACAAGACTTGGCAAAAAACCGAGGTATTTTCCCCCTTTCTCTCTGAAAAAACTTCAAATTTCTATTTTTTTTCAGTTCCCCATGAAAAGGCGAGGAAATAGATGACGGCACAACAGTTGGAAGCGTTCACAGAACGTGTCGCCATGGATAGAGCGAAATTCGCGCCGCAACGCGAAGAATTAGAACAAGAACTCCGTGAGCGGACAGAAATCAACGAGAAACTGATTGCACAGAGGAGTTGGAGAAAGAGTAAAATGCGGCCCACGAAGAGCTAATGAACGAGTTGGATAGAAAGATTTTGCTGACAAGGAGTGCGGCGATGTTTTCGAATCGCTGATCGACGCGTTCGATAAATAGTCCTACGAATCGATGCTCAGAAACGACGTAGACGAGCTCAAACTCAAGAGTAAGACCATCTTAGATCCAGAAAATCGATAATTTGACCTCATATTAATTTTAGAGAAGAAACTACAAGTCGCGATCGCTGAGCAGAAAGCGAAAATCGCCGAGATGATCCCAGCGCTCGAGCCAATGCACGGAGTGATCGTGTAAGCCGTCTGCATCAAGTGAACAAATTCCGAAGCGAGTACAAGACGTCACGAGGAGGCGTTGAAGACGAAACTTTCTGTTTGATTTTTCTCTATTTTATTGCTTTCAAGTGTCATTTGTTATTGCGATTTATCGCTTTCTATTGCTATCATGTTCATTTTTGTCCGACTTTTATTTTTGAAAAATGCAAAAATTCAAATTTTAAAACAAGAATCCGTTCTCAAGTTATAGTGGTCCGGGAGCTTTTCAGATTTTTACTTCTAACGATCGCCTCGTGAATCCGGTCGTCCTTCTTCCCACTCACTCAGATCGCTAGTCATCAGAGATGAGCGGAAGATATTTACGGAAATTTACGGAAGACGGTTTATTTCCAAAATGAAAAATGCTACCAAAAAGTTGTGAACGGACAAAATCTAGATCTCAATGAGAGTTATTTATTGGTATAAAAGTTATCTCATAATAGTGATGGGGAGTTGAGATATGGCGTTTGTTCCGTGTTCCGTCTGGCACACGGAAGACGGAAGAAAGACTCTATTTAAATAATCCAACGAAATTTCGAAAAAATTTTATACCATTCGATAACTCTCATTGAGATCTACATTTTGTCTGTTGACAGCTTTTTGGTAGCATTTTTCATTTCGAAGATAAACCGTCTTCCGTAAATTTCCGTTAATCTCTTCCGGTCATCTCTGCTAGTCTCTGCTAGTACACTCAAAGGAGCGACCTTTTTTAGAAGTTTCATAGAACACGATTATGTAAGAAATCCGCTGTTTCCAGGCACCCGATGAATATATCCAAGTGACGTGTTTTTTGTTCATGAACATTTGAGAAGGGAAGCGAAATGCGAGGCAACATCAACATTGGAAATTCAATTAAGGGTTTATTATTGAGACTAAAGAAATGCACCAAACTCATATGGAATCGAAAGTTTATTAACGGATTCTTCAGCCTTCTTTCGGATTTCTTCCATGCTCGAATGCTCGATGGCGAGTCTTCTGGATTTTGCCTCTCGTTGTTGTTGATTTTCTTCGGCTTCGTGCTGTAGAATGTGCTTCTGGAATGAGCTATTTGAACGAATTGCAGAATGAAGTCAGCATGAATTTACCCCATAATACCGACTCTTGTGGTATTTCCGATGACATACTGGACATTGGTAGACGAATGGTTGTGGTGTGCAATCGATTTCGTGCCGTTCCAAGTTGAATTTTCTGGTGAAACGTTTGAAGCAATTCTGAAATATTGAAATCAACATACTTATCAAGTCAACAATCACCCACTTTACAACAATAATCCTCTTTATCTCCAAGAAGATGAGCAGCCGTTCGGATTCTCTTGGCCTTTGGTTTCATTTCAGAAGACGTTGACGCTGTCTGATTTTCGTATTTCAATACAATTGGTTGTTTGCCACGTGGCTGTAAACAATCGATTGATTACTATGCATCAAGCAACTCTCTCTAATCACCAATGAAACGCTATATCTGACACTTTCGGTGACAACTGGATGATCGTTGGGCAATTCAACGATATACGGAGTCTCGTACTTCTCGCGAAGCAACCATTCTCTTGTAATCCGAGATTTTTGATCGAGCACTCCACGAACGATTTTTCCTGCTCTATAATTTGGTTGACTTACGGTAAAACAGTATTTTTATACCTTGAAACAGCTGTAATTTGTAGCTGGAATCGTTCTAAATGACGCACTGTCAAAATCTTGGCTTCCTCGCTCAAGAATCTTTTCAGCTCCTCTTCTCGTAGACCCGCCAGTAACGCCATCTGTGATTCAATTCTGTTAAGAAAATCCTTGAGATGCAATGTCAACACACAATAAGTCCAGAGTTTAAAACTTCATCCATTAAAAGCGTTTTCTAAACCGAGATGTGTGAAATTTTATAGATAGCTCTACGAATGAAGCAAGTGAAATGAGACACAGACACAAGGATCTTAAGGAAAATGAATGTTAAATGGAAATTAGCTTACATTCAATGCTATGCATTTTACGGGGAGAGACAAATAATTAAGAATCGAACAGGCTGGGTGGAATCGCTGATGATGTGGAGAGAGAGAAAATTAAAACAGGGTGAGAGAGAGAGAAAGAGTAAATCACAGTGCATGAGACGGACGATTTTCGAGAAAAATATGTCCGGACTAGCTGGAAATGAGAATTGGAATAGATTTTTGGAAGGAAGAATGAGAGAATGATGTCGAGCGGATGATCACCATTCTGCTTCTCCGGTGCATTTCTGGAAGCAATAGTCTTTTTTGTCGATATGCATAATTCCATCCTTGAGCTGGAACTTCCATTTGGTACGAGCACGATTCACCTGGAATATTACAAATATGTTCTAATTGTATTACGTTTTGATAAATTACCTTCTCGAACTGGCACATGACAACGTTATCAGCATCAAAGAGCATAGTCAAGTCTTCGTCATCCGACTGGTCGTCTTCTGAATTCAAAGGCTCCTCTTCGGCAACTTGATCACCGTCTTCGACCTCTCCGTTACCCATACGATCGGCGATTCTTCTTAGTGGATCATCATCGTCTTCGACTTCATCGTCACTTGAAGAGTCGGACATTCCACCACCACCGCCGTCGAGTTGGATATCTCTCAACATTGAACCCAAAACTTTCATCGCTTCCTTCTTGCTGGCTCCTGTTCCGCGGACCTTCGTAGAAGCTTTTGCTCTTGCCCGACGAACCTTCAAAGGCTCACTGCATCCTTCCCCATCAGACTCGGAGCCGCCATTCCCGTCCATTTGATTCATATGAGTGAGCTGATTGCTCTGTTGTTGTTGTGGCTGCTGTTGAAGTTGCTGCTGCTGAACTTGTGGCATTAAACGATGTTGCAATTGGTTCGGCATCAGCGACATTGGAACACCTCCGGGTTGTTGTACCACAACAAACTGTCCTGCAGGGAACTGGAGTTGATTTTGAAATTGTTGGGGGAACATTCGAACTTGTTGTGGCTGATGTTGCTGCAAAATACGAATATAGCTATTTCAACAGCGGAGAAAAATGATTAACTGCATTCAAACAGATTCAATCCTCACCCCTGGCTGAGTATAGGCCATTCGGATCGGCGTATCTCCCATATGAAGAGCAGCCAATGTCGTTCTTGGCTGCTGTTGCTGTTGCACCGGATTAACTCTTTGAGGAATTGGATTCGGACGAACTGGATTAGGTGCTACATGTGGTTGTTGCTGGCGTGGAGCCGGTGGAGCCGCATTACTCTCCAGATCCACGCATCCGCTGGAGTTCACTTTATCCTCCCACTCTTTTTTCAACTGAGCGAGTACATCGACATCTATGTTTTCGTCGAGAAACGCCTCTCTCATGTTACTGATCACATCGGCAATTACCGACTTGTAAATGTCGGCAATCCCATTTCCGTGCGCCATGTCGATACTTCACTTATCGTTCCAGCTTCCTGCAAAAGTAATTCAACTAAACTTCCTGCTGGTGATATGTTCTGGGAATGTTCTCTGCTTCTAATCACTTCGAGAAGGCACTACGAAACCGGTTTATTATAGCGGAAGATTCTCCCGAACCGAGAAAATTTTATTGATTCTTCCTCTCTTTTATAGTCACAAGAATCGTGGATACACTAGGAACAACGAAAGAGGAAAGTTTGAGAAAGCACAATTTTTAGTCGATAAAAGCTTCAGATATGAATTTGTTTACTCCTTTCCGTTTGGTTGATGTTTTTTAGTTTCATAATTGCATACTAAATATTTCGAAATTAAGGTCGCCTCATGTCCAAATCAATAAAAATGATGATTTGATAATTTCTAGCAATTTTCAACAGATTTTTAAGGTTTCTTGTTACTTCTGCAGCCCAGGTATATCCTGGGCCTCAAAACACCCAAGCCCACGCAACGAGAGAGTAATTTTGACTCACCAATCTGGCAGCAGCAGCGACGATCGACTGAGTATATATACGCCGCAGCGGGAGGGGTGACGTCAGTGACGAGAATGATGTGCAGGTTGTCGACTGCCGCCAATTCAAACACGGTATTTGGCCTGTTTCAACACTGAAATCGGAAAGTGAATAGAGATGGAAATGGGAAAGAGAACGAGAAGTTTGCGAGATTATGTAAAGAAGTGGGGAACGACCACAGTTTTGAACAGGGAACAGACGCAAACACACTGACGACTTGTTGCGGACTTTCATGAAGTCGAAAAACGACTTTCGAAGAACGAAAAACTAGTGCAAAAGAGATTATTGAAAAAAAGAAAAAAGGGCGACTAATCTTCGTTATAGATAATAAGATCAACCAGGAAGATTTGTGATAATTCTCATCGATATGCATAAAAAGATTTAACGAGCTGAAAACTTCGATGAGGAAAGTTCGGTTTTTGAAGTTCGGTTTTTTGGTGACAAACAGATTTTAGAGATGCTACAATCATATTTCTAATTTCGTATCAGAAAAACACACACACAAATTTCATAAATCGATTGTTTGAGAGAAAAGTGGGAGAAACGGAAGCGGGAGAAAATGCCGAATTGATTACCGCAATCCATCGTTCCTTTCCGAATCAAGAGTAACCAATTATTTAGCCGAAAATGAGGTTCAGAAGCAAAAAGCTCTGAAAATTAAAAAAAATATTTATCTTGAGTATTTAATTCGTAAGTTTGCTGAAAACCAGCCTAACTATTGACTCCATTCGGGAGAATCGGTGGACTACTGTATCAGTTTTCAACCGTATTTTCTCCTGCTTTTTGGTTTCTCCTCGATTTATACGGTCTCACAGGAAGACGAAATAACTGCTCTGAAGTCTGATTATGAACCCGTTAAACATTTCCATACCGCTGAATTAATCTTGCATAAATACACTAATTTGTTCCCGAGAAACCCAAAATTTATCATCAAACACCGAAAAACTCATTGAAACATTCGGAAAAATGAAAACCCTACTAAATACTGTAGCAATTTCAAAACAATGAAAGAATTCTCCCATAGAAATTTAAATAAATTTGATAATACTAACTGTCTGAAACAAGATTGATGCTCCGAGGGTAGTGAAGCAGGAGGCACTTCTAATTCAGTGTAGTATCTTTTCCATATTCGAATGTTCTATTTTAACTTGTGATGTGTTTTTTTTGTGTCAATAACACATTGGAATATTTTTTATAGAATGTCTTCAAACTGATAAACTATTTATCATTATATCACCAATATTTTACCCGTTGACAAGTTGTTGATATCTTACACAGGAATCGAGATACATGAGCTCAAAGTTTGGGTCTACTAGAGGAAATGCGGAATTCTTCAGTTTGAAGACATTCTATAAAAAATATTCCAATAAATGTGTTATTGACACAAAAAAAAGCACATCCCAAGTTAAAATAGAACATTCGAATAGGCTTCTATTAGAGGAAATACGGCATGAATATACAAAACAAAGTGTACAATAGTGTGCTAAAAGGTTATGAAACAAATTCACAACACTTAATACCCAAAAATAAAACGAATTGAAAATACAAAGTCAAGATATGAAAGTTTTTTTTTAAATCACAGATCAAAGCGATGGGAACGCTTCCTCGCCTAGCATGCCTTCGTTGCAAGTTGGACAAACTCTGTTTTGTTCCAGCCAAGATTCGATGCACTGAAAATGATCCATTTTCTTAAAATTAAATACTAGAAATACTCACATGGTGATGGTACCGTCGACTGCATTTTCCACATTTGACAGTTTCAATCCGATTGGTCATTTCCGCCAAACAGATAACACATTCCTGATCCTCCAATTCTTCTGGTGGAGCCTGAGGGGAACGTCGGTGAAGAAAGTATTTTCTGGCGTGTCGTTCGTTTCTAGCCTCTTCTTCATTTCTCAAAGTTTTGGAATAAGTTTCTTCAAATCTCTGGAGAACATGGGTGCCTGGGCACTTATCGGATAGGGATATACACGAGAAGTATGATTTGGAGTTACGCCGATTTCGAATGAATCACAAAGCCTACATGAATGCCCTTAACGAAAGCATATCCTTGATTGAGGTTTGGTAGTGTACGATGTATCCTTCTACAAATTGTGATTTCAGAAGAGGAGCATATCAACAATTGACCAACTTCCAACTCTACCCCACCATAACCCAAGGTTTTCTTTGAAATTTATGTGGTCCGAAAATTTGCGTGATTCTATGAACACAGATACAGTTTTCCATTGTTTTATGTATGTTCCTAAATGAACACAAGCGTATCTTCCTTTTATGCTAATCAGCTGAGTCAAATGTCTACTGAGCAAGGTACAGTATCACGCGGAAGATAGCGACCACAATGAATTGAAATGCAGGTTTTTGTTTCGGTTGGTGAAAAAATCATGATGCTTTCGATAGTTAAATAAGTGATGCATTTGAGAATAATACTAAAACACTCAAAAAATTAAAGTCCTCATGATTTTCAGAACAGCTATCAACGAAAAACTTCACTTTCAGTGTAAGTTGGCCAAAAACGGATGAGACAAAATTATGAGTACAGATACAACCAAGTTTCTCATGTTAATAGGACTATATTGAGTTGTATTTGCTATATTTTGTAGTTTCTTCACATTTTAATACCTAGATCTAAAGTTATATTGGATTGTTTCAAGTGGCTTTATAATTATGTCCACTTTTTTGTGTCATTTTTTCGAAATTTCCAATATAAAGAAACGATAGCGGTATCAAATGATATTCAATAATTGACATTTCAAAATAGTATTAATGACAACCATATGCTGTTCAATCAATTTTCCCAGTTTTCGAAAAAACTCGAAAATAAAAGTGGCTTTATAATTATGTCCAGCAGAGTATAGTCTTCTATTAGACAACACATAATATATCCCACATACATAATCAACGAGCTGCTAATTTCTTTATATGACTTTTGTCGCGTCCGGTGTTAACCGATATCCACTTCTTAAAGAAAGCTCCGACGGTTTACGATGGGTTCCCGAAGACGCGGCATCCTTCATCAGGCTTTTTTATTGCATCTTCTGGCGACCTGGGTTACGGTGGAGATTGACCTCGTTCTTGCAAATGAATTGACTTGTTTTGTGACGAGAAAATGCACTCATTGATGTCATCTTTTTTGGTACGTCTGTTGGTAAATTTATTGCGCAACAGGGGTATGACACTCGGATAGATGATAGAACAGAGAGTGTGAGGGTTATGGTAGCTGACTCTGGTTCAGCCTGAGCAATCCATAGGGTGCAAGGGACTTATTCATGATGGATATGTGTAGTTTGAGAATTTGATTTTTGGGCGTTTCTCGAAATTTTCGCCCGGGCTGAACTTTTTGAATAAATGTAGAAGTTTTATGAATAAGAAAACAGGGGTTTCTTATACACTTAGTTATTATGGAAGATGTGGGTATTGTGTTCGATAGGTAAAGACATGATCCTTGATGATTACCAGAGCAGAGTTCCTGACATTTCTGATAATTTCGATTACTCACGGAAATCCATTGTCGTAGTTTTAAAACTTTGGATCTTGCCGAAAATTTTAAAAATCTGAAGAAGAAAATAAACATTCAACTGTTAAAAATCAACTTCTCAAAACTATACAATCTACTCTATAATCAAATTTGCCCTATCTCCTTCCATCATTTTTTTTCAGAATTCATCCGAACCTCTGTTATACATTTTTACAGACTCAAACACACAAAAACTTGACGTACTAAACAGTAATCGGATTGCCTTCCCAACCATCTCGTCCGCATAAATTTCAAAGCGCCGTACCGCTCACTTTTTTCTTCCCACACCGCCGCTGCCATTCTTTTCCATTTTCAAGTTTTTATTGTTTGTTTGCTCGATGTGCAACTTCACACTCTGATAACATCTGTTCCCCTATATTTTTGTACTTTTTTTAGTCTGTCGTAAGGCTTTTTAATGTTTGATTTAGATTTTGGCACTCTTTGCATATTGACTTTTTTGGTGTATACGAGTTTTTTTACACATCTTCGAGTCAATAAAAAACCCTATTTGAGGTAATAATTCCCTAGGCAGTATCAACTTCCATTAAAGATGACCGAGCTTTCTATGAATGTAAGTTTTGAAGATTTTTTGAAAAAAAATTGTTTTGGAGGTAATTGTAATATTTTCAGGACCAAATAAAGATGGCATCTGAATGGGGTTACAACCAAGAAGACATAATTGCCGCTCTTAAAGAAAACTCTAAAGATGGATCAAAAGACTTTGAGAGATTTGAAAACTTTGATGTAATGTTAGATATTTTGAATCGAGTCTCTGGAAGGGGAGAACCCAGATCGAGCCGGAAACATCATCATCCAGGGTACTGCACAAGAACCTATATAATTTGAATTCTAGATTTTCAGAGACTTGATGTCAACATCTGTAACAACTCTTCATCCACATAGCAGCTCATCTAAACCCCATCGAAACCTATCTGTAGGAAGATCATCCTCGTTCCATTTGTCAACCCCAAAGTGAGTCAGAACCTACTGAAATAGGAGCATTAGCATAACCTGTAAACACGGAATCACAAAACGTTGACCTGAATTCTCTTTTCTACTTTCTCTCACTTTCTAATCCAGCTGTTCTCGTTCTTTACAGAAGTACCCGAGACTCTCACGACATTGTTCGTCTCCTCGCAACACTGGAAAAAGAGAAAGAACGAGATCGAAAGGAGGTGGACAGCCAGTTCACTATCCTCAAGGTGACCTTGTTTGTTGAACATTCGGAACCTACTTGAAGTTTCAGAATAGAATAAATCATTTGGAGAATGAAAAAGAACAACTTCTGGGCGAAGTTCAAGATTTGAAACGGTCCTTCGAGGATTCGGAGCAGGATTTGAAAGACTGTAGAGAAGAAATGAATCGGTTGATGGAGGAGAAAATCGAGGCCGCTGATAAGTTGGATAAGATGGTTGCTTGAGTATCATAGCATAGTCAAAATTTAATATTGTTGCAGACAATTCAAAACTACCGTCAACAACAAGAGATTCATGACCAAAAAGAGCTGTCTGAGCATCGTAAAAAAATTTATTCGGAGGAAAAGGCGCGTCGAGACGAGGAGATTTTGATACTTCAAAAGCAGAAGACCGACGTCGAAGGGGAGCTAGAACGGAAGAGCGCGCTTCTGGATGAGCAGACAAATGTGACAAAACGTTTAGAGGAGAAGAGCTATCAGTTGGTGGGTTGGAACAACTCGAGAATTTCTAAACAGCCTTTCAGAAACCTTTGGTATTACTTGATGAACTCGCTAAAAAGCAAAGTCAACTGGTTGATCTGTCCACTGAATTCCTTCCCAACATTAATGCTGTGAAATCGTTGTATAAACAATTGGTTAGTTTTCACTGAAGTTCAAAAGTTAGACGAATGTTCTATGTCTTAATAATTCTTAACTCCTAATTTCAGTTCGACAGTTTCCCACAACTGGAAGCCAACGTCACTGAGACAAAACACTCCATGGAACGTCGGGTTGAGGAAGTCGAGGAGCAACTTCGATGCCGCAATCGTGATTTCCAACGTCTTCAGGAAAAGTTGGTAGCTGAGTGTTGCATCTGTTTGGCGACAAAACCATCCATCGTTTTCATGCCTTGCCGTCATTTGATCACATGTTCCGATTGCTATGATGCCAGCGATTTCCGAGAGTGTCCAACGTGTCGGTCGACTATTGAAAACTCAATTACAGTATTCTTGTAAATCACAATAAAGATTATATTGTTTGTGCCTGTTTGAATCAGCTCAGTTTGAAGATTGATTTCAGGTTTTGTTTTATTTTTTATTGGATGCCTTCGAAAAATCAGGCTTCTGTGGACCGGTTGGAAAATCTATATGGTTTATGGGAATCACGAGAACAGTATACTTTTTTGTTGTTGACCAAGAAAAGAGGAGCGCATATGAATTCTATCTCTCCCGCTTTCAGTTTCTTTCCATCTCTGGAAATAATAAAAAAACGGTTTTGCGAATAATCGATCAGCGATGAAAAGATGCGAACGAAGAAAAAAAAACAATAGAGATGGGGAGAGGAAAAAGAGAAATAAGTATTATCACCCACCCGTGCATTCCATTTTTTCTGTCTTCTCTTCTCTCCCATTTTGAATCTCTTCTCCTTTTCTCTCCCGATGATTTCCCTATCTCTCTAATTTTAACTGTATTTTCATCCCTTGTCAAAACAAATAGAAACGAAAACAATGTGCCATACTCTCTCGTACTATCTACTATCAGTTTCAGATGGTCGACGACGTGTTTCGATTGAAACGGAGTATGCTCTACGCAACGTTCTACGCAAAATATCAAGACGCCGAAGAGATGAGATTCTGGTCAACGACTCCAGGACCTATTGCTGCTGAAAACCCGTTTAATCTGGATAACATTGGAAATGGTTACGGTAAGTGCAGTTCAGCAAAGTTTCAAGTCTCTGAGGAGCTGACGGGGTTATAAGATCTGTAGTTCCTTATTTCAGATCTATTTCTAGAGATTGATGCCTAAGCTATTGCCATTGAAATTTCGGCGAAGTATTTTGAAAGTAAAACTGGCTCGAATGCAGTGATAGTATCGTTCAATAAGATTACGAAAAGTTTCAGTTGATTTTCGGCCATTTTGACCATTTTCAGGAGTCTATAGCTCGGCTGTCAAGCTTTCGATCACTTTGAAATTTTTGGAAAGTATAAAATAGTCCTAGATTGAAAACTTTGCATTCATTGTTTTTTTTTGAAAATCCCTCGCTTTTCAGCTATTTGCTGATTTCTGAAACACGACTATTTTTTACTGTTTTTGTACTGAAAATGTGAAAAAAACTAGTGCCTTTAGAAATCGGCAAATAGTTGAAAAGGTAAGAATTTTCGAAAAATTCTGTAAGATGCAACGTTTTCAATCTAGGTCTATCTTATAACCTCCAAAACTTTCAAGCTAACCGGACACTTGACAGTCGAGCTCCACTCTTGAAAATGGCCAAAATGGCCAAAATCCACTGAAAAATAAGCTTTTGTACATATTTTATTGTAATTCTAGCCAATCATATGTTCATTTATATTTACTTTTGACCTAATTCCTAAACATTTTATTTTCAGATGTCTGGTCACGTGGCGAGACCCAACTTCTCGTTCTGGCTGTAATTCTTGTCATCCTCACCCTCATCTTTGCTGCCATCGTTGCTTTAGACTGTGGCAGAAATGGACCACCGGTTATGAGAAGAGGAACTCTTCGAGATATTGTATGGCATGGACGAAGCCGTGCTGCACAGAGAGTTCATACAGGAAGATCGTCACGGAGCAATAATAGCGATGTAGAGCTCAAAGGTTAGTATATTGTGCATCAAAAGGATGTTTTTGGAAAACATTATATTATGAAAATTCAAAAAAAAACATCCAAGCGAATCCCATCATTTTAGTTATAGCTTTTCATTTTTCAACCAGCACATGCTTCTCATCTTTTTATGATTTTCTAGTAGATCTTCCAGAAAAAATCTGAACTTCCTGGTTATATAACACCAGGAAATATTTTGCGAGACCCTTGAAACCAACTGTTTCACAACAAAAACATTAGAAAAAGAGCAAAAGCAGGAAGTAGAAAATAAGAACATCTGTTCTCAATTATCTTCTTTCTCTCGACGATCCCTTGAAACCTCATTTTACAGCCCCTCCACTCAGCTATTTGGCCCCACCACCATACGTCGATCGCCGTCAAGAATCTTCTCTTCCTGTTTAACTAAATATTTTCTCTTATTTTTAAATTTTTCCATTGTTGAAAAAGCCAAAGATTGTATACTTTCGTTATACTATAATACAGGGTGTAGTTCTGGAATAATATTCATTTCTGATGAGATTAATTGATTGATTTGAAATTTGAATCTGATGAATTATTTTTGGGTTGAAGGATTGCAAAAACGTTGTCAGGCGGTTTGAAATTACATTCTTCATTAAAAAAACAGCAGTTTTGACCTACTCTCTAGAAAAAAACAGTGAATGAAAATGAAAGAGAAAAGATGAAATCAGATGTTATTGTTCATCTTATTACCTCCATGACCTCTTCTTTTCTGTCTACTCCCTCTCTTCTTCTCTTCCTATTTTCCTTATCTAAATGTCATCGACCAATATCTTCCCTTGTATTATATCCACAATGTTCACAATATTATTTTTCGTTACAAAATAACATGATTTTTTGAATTCCCGCTGAACTTCAACTTTGTTCTAACATTTTTAAAGGTAATAATTAGATTCAGAAACCAAAAAAACATCTTCTCGGATCCATTCTCTAACTAGAGATGCTGTCGAATCTCTCGTTCATCTTGCTGGCCTCAGTATGCATTGTCCTAGGTACTTTATTACTGTTTTATCAAAAAGTTCATCAACTAGACAATATCAAACCGAATGTTCCCTTTTTCGAGTTCAAGTTATCTATAGAACCTATAACCGGACCGATTGAGGTTCAGCGGACGTTGGAAGGTATTAAAAAAGTATCAGTAAATATTCATGTATACTTGTTGTATGTTTAACTTGATATTTTGTGTTCAGGAGAGAAAGGTTACCTTCTTCCAAACTGTCAACTTCCTCTTCATCACGGAGTTCAAAAATGCGCAAACACTTCCTCTCTCCGAGTAAGAGACTACTAATAAAGTGCTAACCAGAACAAATAGTTCGTATTTTTGCAGTTCTATATGGATGCCGATACGGAGACATGTTTGGCATTCAAGTACTCGGGTTGTGGCGGAAACGAGAACAACTTTGACTCGTGGAATGGATGCTCGAGGTGTTTTGCAAGTGAGTCATGTTCTGAGAGTGTATTACATTGTTGTGTGTGCGACAGTTGATGCCTAAAAGAGTTCAGTGGCAGATCAATTGCTCACAGATAACGAGTGGGACCGCCCAACTTCTCCTTTGTTTTGTGGTTCTCAAAATTTCTCACAAACCCCAAAAATCCTCGAGTTCTAATCATATTTTGTTTCAGTGGACTATTCGGGATGTCCGATTGGATCTAAGTCAATCAACAATCTGAATTCCAACAGCTCCATCTGTGCTCATATCGACAACGAAAACTGCACCGGACCAAACACCTATTGCTCAAGAGGAGCGTTTTTTGGAAAGTGTTGTGACAAGACAATCAGAGGTTGGTTGAATTTTAGTGACTATTCGCCAACTTTCGAAAACAAAAATGTCAGTATGTAGTATAGTCAAAAATGTAATCTTTCGGTTTTTCGATCAGCTTAGAACACATAGAAAAACATTTGCAGAAAAGTGGTAGGGTCGTGTTTTTATTTTGATAGTCGTAGAGAGCAAACATCAGCAATGTTCGAGGGTTACTGATTTACATGCTAGTATATAAAACCGCAGTTTTCCTAGAATTTTTTGATACATTTCATTTTTGTTTTTTTTTACATTCCTATTATGGGAAAGGTATCACATTACAATCTTCTACCATGTTGGAAATTCTCTATTCCTATGACGTACTCAGAGGGTTCAAAATGCCATTATCAGAAATTGCGCCCCAGATAACTTTTAGGTCAGACGAAATTCAATAATTTGAAAAAGAAAAGCATAGGGATGTTCACTGGGGGAGGGGGGGGGGCGATTTCTGACAAGAAGTTTTTGGAACCCTGTACGTACGGGATCTCTTTAAGGTTAAATATATTTTTTGCAGACAAGGAAAACAGTGACAGAAGTGAGAAAGAAGGATGTTCTCCAGGAACCAAGAAGGTCACTTACAAAACTGGGGGCGGATTCTCGGTCACTCTTCTCGGAAAGACCTGCGGATCTAACTTTTGCCCGCAGAAATCCACGTGTCACCAAGGCAATTATTTCGCTTACTGCTGCGCTGCGATTTGAATTGGACCAACAAGAATCAAAGTATCATCCGGTGACATAAACCGTGAGCCTTTTCATGACAAATGTTTTTTAATGCATAAATGTTTCTGTTGAATACCTTTGAAAATGTTATTCTCTTAGATGTCGCCAAGCCATCTGTAATTATCTCTAACCTATTATTGATCTCCAGTAATCAAAATTTTAATTAAATACTTTGAAGATGATAAAGGGTCTAATTCTTCTGGTATTTGTCGCAGTGGCATTTGCTCAGTGCCGCCCAGAATGCCAACAACCACTTCATTTTGGAGTTAAACAGTGTACCAACACTTCATCGGTTAGAGTAAGTTTAAATTCCTCATCAAGCTCGAATCTAATAGCTTCAATTTCAAGTTCCACTTCGATACCATTGCCAAAAAATGTCTTGCCTTCAAATACTCGGGTTGCGGGGGAAATGCCAACAACTTTGTCTCCTACAATGATTGCCAATCGTTCTGTGTTCCAATGGATTATTTCACTTGTCCAGGTGGAAGTGCTGCTGTCGTCGGAAAGAATGGAAAGTCCCACTGTGGAGGAATGGAAAATCTCCAATGCGATGGTCCAAATTCTTTCTGCCTGAATGGACCATTCATGGGAATGTGCTGTGATGCTGGAGCCAGAGTGAGTAATGCTAAAAAAGCTGAAGCTAAAACTTTGCTTTTCAGACAAGATGAACGCTGATTACGAAAAAGAGTGCGGTCCAGGAAAGCTGAAGCATCAAATGGATATCGGAGGAATTAACATCCCAATGTTCGGAAAAACATGTGATTCTGCATTCTGTCCACAGAACACCAAGTGCCATCAAGGAAACTATTTTGCCTATTGCTGTGCCTAATTTTCTTTGCTTTTTTTAAAATCCAAGATTTGCCCAAAAATGAGATTCCTGCCAAACTTTCAGAACCGTCATAATAAAACCTTGAGTGTGCCTTACCAAAGATTTCCCTTTTTGAATAAATTTTTTTTTTCATGACTATTTTTTCTTTGAAGATGTTTTTAAGTCATCTAAAATTATTCCTGCTACAAATGTTTGAATTCCAAACTGGAATTTCCAGTAATCTCTCAGCATAACCAGCATTTCTTTAGATGCTGAAAATTTCAATTTTTCTCATTTTTTGTTTGGGAGTTTCCGCCCAATTCCGTCCAAACTGTCAGCAACCACTTCATTTTGGAGTCCAACAATGCTCAAATTCTTCGTCGATCAGAGTTAGTTTTTCAGCTTCATCCAGGCACGGTTGAGTTTTCTAGGCCACCGGCCGATTAATAGGCCTGATATAAACCTGGTGTTTTCTAGGCCGATTTTGTTAAAATGAAATAGAAAACCCACCAAGGAAATATCAGATCCTTTCTAGGCAATAAAAATTGGTGGCCTAGAAAACTAAAAAAGTTAGGTCACCATGTTAAATGACCTAGAAAAGACACCAGGCACATGTTAGATCGTTTCTGGACCATCAACTACGTTGGCCTAGAAAATTCGTATTGAGAAAGTTAGGCCACTTTATTCCTCACATGAACCGGAGTGTGTGATTTTTGATATAGACAGAAAAAAAACGTTTTAAGTCTAGTTTGAAAATCTGGGCACAATGAAGGTTTTTCAGTACCACTTTGATTTGGAAACAAAGAAATGCCTTGCCTTCAAATATTCTGGTTGTGGCGGAAATACCAACAATTTTGCCAGTCGTCAGGACTGTCAATTCCTCTGTGTTCCCCAGGATTATTTCTCGTGCCCTGGAGGAAGTGACCCGATTCTGAATAAAAATGGAAAAACAAGTTGTGGAGGAAGAGAGAATCTCGAATGCGATGGACCAAACGCCTACTGCAAAAGAGGGCATTTCGTTGGAAAGTGTTGTGATTCTAGAATTAGAGGTAGGGTCGATACTGCAAGGATTCCAGATTTCATAAATTTTATAATAATAATCATAAATAGAAATTTTAATTCCAGACAAGGTCGATGCAGACTACGCTAAAGAGTGTGGACCTGGAAAGCAAAAACATCACACTGACAATGGAGGAATCGAACTTCCACTGTTCGGAAAGACTTGTGATTCGGCATTCTGTCCAGCTAATACAAAATGTCATCAAGGAAATTATTTTGCTTATTGCTGTGCCTAAATTTATTGAGAACCTTCATCGCCTCGCTGAGCTTTATTAATTCCCGATTTTTTCTCATAAAAGTCAAACTACATTCTTTTCTTGAATGATCAATATCACAATGAAATATTATGCACCCCATTTGCTTCAATACAGTAATACGATCGTAAAACATTGATGTACTCCATATGAATTGTCCAAAGACCATTCGATTCAATATAAAAGAGAGCAGTTGTTCCCATTTCGTTTCATTCTTCGATGATTCCTCTTCCCCTTCTCCTTGTTTCTCTCCTTTTCGGCACTGCCGTTTCCCAGAATCTCTGTGATTCCCCAGCCGATTTGGGCAAATCATGTGCTGGTTCCAATTTTTCTATTCGCTTCTATTTCGATAAGGATATGAGACGTTGCCTTCCTTTCAAATACTTCGGATGTGGTGGAAACGAAAACAACTTCTCGGAGAGACATGAGTGCGTTCAAAGATGCACTCCAATGGATCACCTCTTTTGCCCAGCCAACACTCCACCAATGAAAAATGTCTATGGATCGACGGATTGTGGACAGAACAGTGGAGATGTCAAGTGTGCGAATATAAAGAGCTTCTGCCACATGGGACCGAATGGAGCTGGAATGTGCTGCTCGTTGGAAGCACAAAGTGTTAAATCTTATAAGTTCAAAGAAACATTGTATTATTTCAGAGAAAGTAAACCAAGATCGTGATCCATTTTGTCCAAACGGAAAGAAGAAGTATTCCGTCTTCCGTGGGCAAAAGGATCGTATCGTCATCGGAAAATCATGCGATCATCAGTTCTGTCCGGATGAATACGATTGCCAGAAAGGCAACTTCTACGCGTATTGTTGCGCTAAATAAATGAAATCTGAATAAATTATAATTTGAATGAAATAAAGTTTTGAAGTTCAATCATAATTACGGTTCATCTCATTAAAATAATTGGAAAATCGGACGACTTTCAAAATGGATGAAATTCTGAACGGAATCTTTTAGTTTCATTGAATGGAGCAAAATAATCTGGAATACTGTGGAGTTTGACGAAAATTACGGCTCCGCGACGATTCGAAAGCAGACGTTTCGCAAGTACGGCAATTAATGCTTTGAAAGCTTCAAATATACAAAACTCTGTTCGAAAAGCCACTTAAACACTCAAATACAAGTTTTTGCTTTTCTTCGATGCAAAAAAGCGCAAAGCTATTACTTGCGAAACGTCGCACCGGCGAAACGTCACACTTGCGAAACGTCTGATTTCGAACCGTCTGATTTCGAACCGTCTGCTTTCGAAACGTCGCGTAGCCCTCTAAAGAGATCTTTTTGGGTGTATTTGCTCTTTAAAAGCAAATGAAGAATGACAAATTCTTTTTAGAAAAAAAATACTTTTCAAAACATTTTAATGTTTTTTTAAAAATGTTTTCAATATGTTTTCTTCCAAAAGACCTTTTCCTTGGCAAATAACTCGGAGGGTACAAAAATTTTAGAGTCATTAGGTACGAAGCAATTAAGGGGTACAAAATACTCCGTCCGTTCGGGGGTAGAAAAAACCTGAAAAGTTTGAATTTTGTACCCCTAAATCACTTTGTACCCTTTTGTACCCCCGAATTGTTGTACCCTCCGTATGTACCGCAAGGATCTGTTGATTCCTCAGAGAACCTTTATTTTGGGATGGTGTGTGGGAATCCTCTACCAATGAACACCCAGAGTTCAGATCATTCGATCAAAAATACAAGTCATTTTCAGTTGATCTTTTGAACAACGACTATTAAATTTTTTTTGTTGATATTTTATTACTGCTTCCACCAATTCTGTATTATTTTTCTCGATCGCAAGAGTATATAAAGACTCTGGAAACCCTCTGGTCCATCATCCTGACGATGAATTCGAAGATTGCTCTTCTCTTGAGCATCCTCGTTGTATCATACTCCGTCTACTGTGAATATGTGAGACCTGCCAAATGCAACCTCTATGATGATTGGGGTACAAATCCATGCTCGAAGGAATCTTCGATTCGGTTCTACTACGATCCTTCAATGGATAAATGCCTCGCGTTTCGATTCAGTGGATGTGGTGGAAATGAAAACAGCTTCACGAGAGAATATGATTGTCATAGAGAGTGCTACGATCCGGACAGAATGCATTGTCCAGGCAACACGACAGCAACATTGACAACTGCAGGAACAACACATCCATGTGGTTCAGGCGAAAATAAAAAAGGTCTACCGACATGCGTTAGTACAGCAGAACAACTCACTTTTTGTAATCCTACAGGTCCCGGAATATGTTGTCGTACAGAGGTCAGATGTGAGTTTTTTTTTGTCACCGTTATCTTCATGAAATTCTATATTTTCAGATTTATATACGAACGACTCATCGCCATCTGGTCATGGCTGTCCAGGTGGAGAAGAAATGGGAATGAAGTATCTTCAAGATGGAAAAGCTCCACTTGCAAAGAATTGTAGCAGAGAAGATTTTTGCCCTAAAGGATACACATGTACCAAGGGAAATTACTATTCCTATTGTTGCAAATAAGAATGTTGTGTTCTGACTTTATGAAGGATTTTTATTATTGCACGTGTTGTAGTTTTTTTCAATGGAAAAGTATAATAAGATGATTCTGTACGCACAGGGTTCCAGAAGGCTTTGTCAGAAATCGCGCCCCAGATAGCCCCAATCTCAAGTTTGCTGGGGCGCAATTTCTGACCAAGCCTTTTATACCCTTGTGTGCCATAACCTATTTTGCACCTGAAATTTAGTGATATCATCAACCAAAAATTATGATTTTTTATTTTTTATTCAGAATCTGAAAAAATCCAAACATGATCCTCGTATGAATGCAGATCATATCGGAAACTCTCCAATCTCGACAATTTTTTAGACTTGACCTATTTACTGAATACGGTAGTATGACATTTAAACGGGTCTGTCAACCGTTCAAATTTCATCTGTAGATCTTATCCGTCATTCTTCAATTCTGTTTCACTGTTTTTTTCCCATATAAATTTTGGTGTTTGCTCTTTGATTTGTTTTGGTTATCACGTAAATATTTAGGTGTTCAGACAAGATATCACCAATAGCAAAATAACAATGTTCATTAGTCTTATTTCTGTGCAACTTGATCCTCGCAGCAATACGAGAAAAAGTTTCCATTTTTGCAAGAGAACCCATCTGGACAAGTGACGGCATCACATGATTTAGCCAACACAGTAAGTCCATCAACTTGCCAACGAGCATTTCCAGATGGACATGTATCACTTTTATCCTCTGCTAACCCATCCACAACGGTTCGGTTGCAGCACAATCCTATAGTCAGGAAGCTGACGCAGTAGGCATCCTTGCTCTCACATCCTTCTCCAGTTTCAGAATCGCTCACTGGGCAATCGCTCATATCGTGACTGTTGAACACTGGGGGAGTTCCAAGGGGGCATTGGATGTAGCTCTCTGCAAATATGAAACTGCGGGATTGAAAATAAAAATCTCTATACTTGGATCGAGGTCACAATTTTGTGCGCATTCTGTGAGAGTCTCATAGTTGTTCATAGTTCCACCACATCCCTTGTATTGGAATGCATGGCATTGGTTAGTGACAGGATCGAAGTGGAACTGAAAAACAGGCTGAAACGGCGAGAATCTCATATATTTCAAAACTTACTCTTTGAGATGGAGCATAGCCACAGTTTTTATCGGTTCCTTGGGATAAGGGTAAGTAACATTTTGGGTGATGCGCGAGAGCCAGAGAGACAAAAGCAAGGAGAAAGAAAGTCTGTTTCGACATTTGAAAGAGATCCGTAGAACTTTTCAGGCATTTTATACTGTTTCTGGATGTGGACGTGCGGAAAACAAAGATTTCTTCTCTTTTGAAAGTTTTTGTGTTTTATTTGGTGTGTTGGAATACATATGATTCATATAGGATAAGATCAGAGCCTGGTTTTTTGGTTCATGAAGAATAAATGAAACATTTTTTTTTGAAAATTTGTTCAACTGTAAACACCGTAAACACTCTAATGGAAGACCACCCAAGCAATCAACTTTGAGCTCATATATCTCTGTTCCTGTGAAAGATATCAAAAAGTGGTCAACTATTGATGATATTAGGATAAACATTTTGCCAGTTGACTACTTTTTCATATTTATCACAGGAACCGAGATAAATGGGCTCAAAGTTGGCGGTTTATGTGGCCTTCTATTAGGGTGTTTACGATATCTCATCCTCTGCGAAAGATATCAAAAAGTGGTCAACTGACAAAATATTTGTCTGTTGACCAATTTCTGATATCTGTTACAGAAAAAAAAATGCGTTCTATTGGATTGTTTACGGTATGCGAATTTGGCCCAATGACAGCTGCTTTTCGAATCCGAATTTGTAAACATGGGATTTTATAGTTTCAATTTTTTGCACGTTCGCCTTCCCAATCATGAAATTATGGATGTTCTAAAATTGGTCATAAGAATCGAAAGTTTTATGCAAACCTATAAAGAAAAAATATAATCTTCGAGAATCCGTTTCAGCGTTCAATTCTTCTTTCTCGTCTCAAAAACCAACCAACTTTTCTTTAAAAAAAACAACAACAACAGCACACAGTTCTTTAATGCATTACATTCTCATTCCGTCTCCAGCACGTGCATCTTTTCCAACCCCAACTGTCTGTATCTCTAACGCCCTCTTCTTTTTCTATACTCTCTCCCTCTTTCTCTTCTCTTCAGCCCCAATGGACACAAACACGACACAGAATTCAGAGACCACGGCATGGCAGCAACGTTGTGCAATACTGCAACTGGTCCGCAAAAGTTTTATATAAGTTTCCAGATTTTTATGCACTTTAAAAGTAAATTAATGTCTTGGAATTATTTTCCTTTTTGCCTTTTGAACTTTGTTATCAAATATTGACACATTTTTCATTTCCCATTTCCTCCTCTTTCTTTTTCTTTTGAATCGTTCATCAATATCTCTTATAGTGTTGTGTTCTTATCATTTGAAGATTAGGAACACTTTTCGATTTTGGTTCTCATATTTTTCTTCGAATTTTCAGTTTTGTAGAAGGCGTCTCAACATAATTCCCACAATGGGTACGGTCACAAACTACAAAAAGGCGTGTGTTTTCGTTCTTCACCGTAGTCTCATTGAACCTCATTTTTCCGCAATGCAACGTAGCATTTCGAGAAATAGTCATCATTTTTGTGACTTCTAGGTCAAGAATTGGTATAAATAGGTGTATCATTTCGAGACAGAGGTACTGAGGACGAGCTTCTCAAATTAGAAATTTCAAGTTTTTTTTTATAATGTAGAGAGATCACAAGTATTGAAAATCTATTTTTGTTCTCTACAAGAGAAAAACGAAAGCAGGAGTTTCCATTTTAAAAAAGTGAGTCGAAACGTCCTTTCAAATTACCACTTAAAATAAAGGCGGCTCGCAGGCCGTGGCCTAGGTTTCTCACTGCACGGGAACTCGAATCCTCGTCCCTATTCGCAATCTTTTGAATCATACTTTTTTGCTTTTAACGGCGTTTTTGGAAACTCAAGATTTTTTCGACTTTTTGCCTAAAAAATATTAGGAAAATACATACCATTTGAAACTTTTTGGTGCAATAAAACATTTTGATCGGAGCCCCCCTTTTAAACTTTTGATTTTATGGATTTCGTTTGGAAAATTTTTTCTCTAGCCATCTACTTGCTCAGAGTTTGTGTGACATCTGAACAACTGTCGTAATTGCACTTTTTCATTTTCTCTTTATTGATTAAATTTCTAACCCAAAAGTCTCATGGAATCTTTCATCTCATCACTCTTAATTTTTTTGTACCCGACGACGCACCGCCCATGTCACATTCCTGTCTAATTCGAACGCACTAATTGAATTTTCAACTGCCCTCAGTCTTTCATCGTTTTTTATTGCATTATTTTTTCGTATCAGTTGGGTCACCGTCTACCTTTTCTAATTTTTCAGAAATGCTCCTTCAAATCTTCACGGTTTGGCTCGGAGTCTTCTCCATCGGCTTCACCTTCCTTCCAATGTTCATGGTGCTCGACTGGAAAAAGCGCGGAACAGCCGATGGGTTCAGTTCTGTGAACTTCGTGCTTCCGATACTTGTGTAAGTTGAAGAAATTCTTCTATATTCTATCCTAATACCTTCCAGACAATCTTTCTGGCTTCGCCACGGATTGATGACAAACGACCAGACAAACATCATCATCAACTCCATCAACTTGGTTTTCTTTGCCTTTTACGTATCAGCGTTTGCCTACTATCAACCAAAGAGGGTAAGTGGGCAGCTGGAGAAGGAATGGTCATAGATAAAAATTGGAAGAAAAGTGAAAATTTGAAACTATGATTAAGAAGTGAAAACGAAAGTTCTGTGTTTTGTATGTTGTAGCTCGGACACAGAAAAATGTGTGAGTCTTTATAAGTACAAAATGAGCGGTTTCGAGTATTAAAAATTGGCTATCAAAAAATAGAAGAGTCTCGGCTTTCGGTTTATAACTGGTCCGAAGTTGAGGGGGATGTATAGCGGGTCATGATCAGATTTTGGGAGCTTAATTCGTAGGGTACACCGATTCGGGGGTACAACAGGGTACAAAGTTATTTAGGGATACAAAACCAACAGTTTGGAGGTACAAAATTCGAATTTTTTCTCGTATTGTAATTCGAACTGTATTTCGAACTTTTTCTTGTAACTTTTTCTTCTAAACCCTCAAATTAAGGATTTTGAACTGATAAATGGTTTCGTGACCCTAAATATATTGTACCCTCCGAACTATTTGCACAGATTTTGTTGAACTACGACTAGATCGGAACCTTGTCATAAGTTTGTCATAGTTTGGTCGGCTTCAGTAGCGGTCTTATCCAGAAACTGAACAACCTCCGAACAAAAGTGGCCGGCGACGCCCGAGTATCAAGACATGAGTATTCTTACTAGTACCTCTCCACACGGCCATGCAGAACCCTTATCAAAATACTGAATGCTCATGAAACGACCAAACTATCGTCTCCAATTTTCAGAAATACCTTCTCGGTCAAATCATCGCCGCTGCTCTCGCCATCAAGGTAGCCTTTGCCTACGTCGATACTCATGACGCCGCCTCTATCAACGACGCTATGGGATCTATGGCCGCTGGTGCTCAGATTTTCAGTTTGGTTGGAGGAATATACGAGATTGTTAGTCCAATTCATGCAATCCCCCACAAATTTGTCCCTTTTCAGAAGCGTGCCATCTCAATGGGAACTACCGAATACATCCCAGCTGGATTCCAGTTCGCCATCTTCACTCTCATCGTTCAGTGGCTTCTTTTCGGTATCCTCCATGGAAACCAATTTATTGCTGTAAGTGCTATCAAATTGTATCCTCAAAGTCCCATATTTTTAGATTTCCAACGCCGCTGGTTTGCTTGTGAACATTGCCACGATTGCTTTGTACTTCTTCTATCCACCACTCACATGGACCGTTCCAATTTTCAACATTCCTCCACAGAAACAAGACAATAAGAAGGTCGAGTAATACAATCGAACTGTTCTTCTTGATAACTCTTGCCTTGTAAAGTGCCTTTCCCAATTTGACTTTTGTTATCTTCTTAAATTGAACGTGTAGAATGAATGTAATGCTTTTTTCTGGAACTCTTTGAAGACAGTCTATGGGCTTCAGATATTAAGTAAACGATGGTAAATACAATGATTCATGCATATCAGAAAATTCGAACAATGATAAAAATCCATCAGAACAGATTTCTGATTGAAAGTCTGTTTTGAGAGAGATTTCAGTTGACTGCTCTTTCAAAAGAGTCGAAGCTCGCGGAGGAAATTAGATCGAAAGAAAAAATGTTCGTCACGTTGACCTCTTTTTTATTCCAACAGAAGTGGTTCGTGGCCAACTGGATGGATGGAGATATTCAGTGCTTGCTGTGTTGTCCTCATCGGACGTCTTCAAGATGTTGTCCGAGAAGTTGTCAATGGAAGGAATGGGTCAGGAGGCCGAAGTTCAAGTCGTTGAAAATCCACTAATTGGCCCCGAGAAGATTGGAAAAGAAGCCCTTGATGTGGATCTTGAAGTGAAATGTACTAAACGGCGATCGATTCCCATTAACAAAATAAGTGAGTTCAGTTTTAGAAGGTTCGATTGAGAATCATGATTTTTCTGACTTATTCTACAGATAGCAGAATGACTATTGTAATATTTTTTTGATTGACTTCAGTAATTTTTTTGTTCTGCTGTCATTTTGAACTTTTATGGGAGGTTTCCATTTTTGGAACGTCATTCTAGGTTGGTGGGCTAATTGACATACAATATTGGTCTTTAAGTTATACAAACACGTAATTTTCAGTTGATTTTCGACCATTCGGACTATTTGCAGTAGGGTTTCCATTTGGGGGGGCGATTCACCCGCCCGCACCCACCCGGGGGGCTCACCCCCCGCGGCCCCCCGTTGACCCCCCGCGAATATTTACGTGAGGAAAATATTATCTTTTTTGTAGTTTTTTGATTTGAGAAACTCAGTTTTTCTTGGAAAATACGTGATTATCTTCAAAAATTTTATTAAAATTCACACGCATTTAATTGCGGGGGGCCGCGGGGGCCGCGGGTGGGAGCCCCCCGGGTGGGTAGCGGGTAGTCCGCTTCTTCACCCGCCCAAATGGAAACCCTAATTTGCAGGAGTCTTGAGCTCGGTTTTCAAGTTTCTGATCACTTTGAAAATTTTGGAGAAAAACAGATCTAGATTACAAACTTTGAATTACCATAATTTTTTTAATTTCTAGATTTTCGGCTATTTTCTGATTAATTTTTTGCGCGATTTCGTACTGAAAACCTTTAAAAATTGGTGTCTTTCCAAAATCGGCAATAGCTGAAAAAAACTTTAAAAAATTGCTGTGAATGCAAAATTTTCAATCTAGGTGTGTTTTGTAATTTTCAATATTTTTGAAGTGATTGGAAACTTGACTCCAGACTCCTGAAAATGGTCAAAATGGCCAAAAATCAACTGAAAATATGTTTTTGTATATCTTATTGACCGGTACTGCAGATTAGCAGCTACAGAAGAGGTCGGGTTTGGAAATCCATGAAATCCCAAACATTTTAATGCCCTAGCATTTCCCATATCCTAAAAGTTGTTTTGGTAAATCATAATCTAGTCAAAATTAGCATTACTAGTTGTTTATGGGAAACCTTATAAAGCTAATTAATTACTACATGTCCACTCCAAATGACCCTTCCACTTCCCCTTTTCTCTGAACACAGTGTAAACAAAAATCGCTACCACTTTCCTCGCATATTCATATTTGCTCCCAGAAACAATTCCTCTATTCTGCTTTTCTTTCTCATCCTTCCCTCCCCTGTCCTCTGAGAACCGTTTTCGTTTCCATGATTTTTGCAAGGGAACTTTTTCCTCTTTCTCCATTCTCCTCAGTCATCCACGAGACACGTTGTATTATCAGTTATCATATCGCCGAAACCTCCCTAATCAACGATTTCCCCTTTTCCGTAGTACATGTGCGCCCGTCGCTTTCGTCGGAAAATATACTTTGCCCGGGCCCTGTACTATAAAAGGCAACCCGTATCAATGGGCGCAATGACCAAATGTTCAATTTCCTTCCCACGTTTTTTTGTTCAAATTTTCAGAATCGATGCCTCCAGTCAACAGTAAACACGAATGGCCGTATCCGGTGGCGAAGAACTTCCCTGGGCGATTTGAGAGGTTCTCCTACAGAACTTATGTAAGATAAACAAAGAATATACAGATGATTTTCACACTCAAATTCAGAATTGGTTCGAGAACCGATTATGGCCTGTCAGACCTCTTCCCTTCTTGACAGCTACGGTAGCAGCCACGGCGTTTCAAGTCAGAGATCTGGGAGTTGAAGGAGTAGGAGAGGATGTACAGAAAGTGAGTATCATTGAGATTGCATTGTCTGAAGATCAAGATAAAGACAGAAGACATGTCTAGACTGATCAAATAGAGGTTACTGTAGTTTTGGAAGTTCAAATTTCAGCTTTTGAAACCTCTTGCCATTTCCATCGGATCCATCTACACAACTGTCTTCCTCCTCCGACACATTCTCAAATACACGTACTTTTCCTATAAAGGATATATGTTCGAGAACTCCAAGAAACCATCCATCACCACTATGATCTGGGGTCTTCTTCGGAAAGTTCTTCTCTACCAGGCACCTCCTCAACTCTCATCTTGTGATCGTCTTCTCCCGAATCTTCCGTTACCAGCCCTCCAGGATACTGTAGACCGTTACATGGAATCTATGAAACACTTCATGCCAGAGGTGAGAAAGATATTAATAGATGACTTGAAAAGAACTTAATTCGTCTAACCGGTTTTTGAAATGTAAACATGTGTATTTGTTTTCAAAACATTCCGATGACACAACTAGGAAATTGTACTTTGTCCGGGTCTTTCTCTTCCCTGGCTGCAACTGATAACCCGATTTTGTGCGTGTCAATGTTTTTCTCCTTATCAGAAAGACTATGCGAAACTGCTCGAGATGTCACGCGAGTTCGTTGCCAATGAGGGACGGAGTCTACAGAGATACGCATGGATCCTTCACAAATTCACAGATTGTTATGTGACATCGTTATGGGAGAAGTACATTTATATGGCTGGAAGATATCCACTTTTGATAAATAGCAGTGTAGCACAGTGTACAATGTATGGACCAAGTGATCTGATTCAAGCTTATCAGGTGGCAAGATTACTATATATTGAGACAATTGCCAACTTGGCATTGGATAGACAAAAGTATATGGCTGTAGGTACCATATTGCGCCGGATGGTTGAAAACTTCTAGATTTTAGGTTGGAGACGGTATCATGTCCACTCGTCACTACAAGAACATTTACAACGGGTGTCGCATCCCTGGGAAGAATTACGACCATTTCAAGTGGAATAAACCAGCGAAACATGTTATTTTGGTTCATGATTGCACATGGTACAAGGTTGATATCTGCGATTCCAATGGCAACATGTATACTGTTGATCAATTGGCCAAGTTAGAACATTTGTTTCTGACGATTTCATTCATTTTTTATCATTCAGAATTGTGGCAGAATTGATGGGAAGAGATGATAAATCAGCTGGTTTCCTACGCAAAATTGCCAGTCTCACTACTGATCGAAGAACTGAATGGTGTGCCAACCGACAGAAGTTCTTCCTCGAGAACAAACATAACCGTCATCTTCTGGAACTTATCGAGTCGGCACAGTTTGTGATGTCGGTTGATGGAGATTTGAATTGGGGTGTAGAATCGACGGAACAGTTGTCCAAGTACATGAAAGACATGCTGGCTGGATCGGGATCGAATCGTTGGGTCGACAAGACAATGAACTATGCAGTGGATGCTAGTGGACGTGCGGGAGCAACTGGAGAGCACTCACCTTGTGATGGAGCAGAGTTGGATCATTTGTGTGAAAATGTATTGAATGTGGACAAGCAAGTTCTGGTGTCTCCAAGTACCGAGAAGCAATTGGAGATCATCAAAATGAGTACGGAAGAGAAGAAGACGTTGAAGTTTGCTGAGAAATTGGATTTCCAAGAAGTAGATGGAGTGAGTTTCTTCAAACGAAATTCTCTAGAACTATATTTCATTTTCAGATGGAATCTGAAATTAACAGATGCTTCGATCAACACCAAAAAGCTTCAGACGACCTCCACATGCATTCTTTGGCGTTCACAGATTTCGGAAAGGGGCGTGTCAAGAAATGCGGAATTTCACCAGACGGATTTTTGCAGATGGCTATCCAACTTGCTAACTACTATGTAACAGATATCTTTTGATTTCATAGTATTTAAAATTTCCTTTTAGGACCAAGGACAATTCGTGCTGACTTATGAGCCAGGATCAGTCCGCTTTTACGCTAACACTCGAACAGAGACTCTTCGTCCGGTTACTGATGCTTCTTGCAAGTTTGTGAAGACGATGTTGAATGAGGAAGCAACGGTAATAGTATTATTGTACACTTATATCTATGTGGTTTTTAATTACAGCAAAAAGAGAGACGAGATCTTTTGAAAGAGGCTTGTGAAGCCCACGTAGAGAACTGTAAGGAAGTGATGACTGGGAAAGGAGTCGATCGGCATCTTTTTGTTTTGTGCGTCTTGGCAAAAGGACTTGGTTATTCTAGTCCGTTCCTTGAGGATTACGCAAATCAGAAGTGGCTATTGAGCACCAGTAATGTAGGGTGACAGAGTCATTATTGATAGTTAGTTCTACAAATTCCAGATTCCAAACATGACCAACTCTGTCGATGAGGACATTTCTGAGAACAACATCATGTTAGGTGCCTCTTTTGGAGCTGTTGCTCAAGATGGATATGGAATCTGCTATCGGTTCGCTGGCAATCGTGCGATCATGGTTCACATTACATCTTATCATTCTTCCCCAGCCACAGACTCTGATAGATTTGGACAGCATCTTCGAGAAGCAATCCACACTTTGGCTGATTTGTTCGACGAGGAGCCGAGCAATAATAACATTTCCAAAAATGTTTGATTTAACTTTCTTCCGAAAAAATTCAGTGTGTTTGTATTTTTGTGAGAACCTGTATGATAATAAATTAATTTCGCTATTCCGAGAGGTATCAGATTATTGTTTTAAAGTTTTATTTTTGTTTGGATACATGATATCATTATTATGACAGGAGGAATCATATATGTGAGAGAATTGAAAAACCATTATGACAAGTTGACACCGTTCGATTCGAGCAACTTTCTGAGCATCATCAAAATTGGCCCAATATTTGGAACAGCGAACATGGCAACGTTGAGATTGGTTGAGTTGATTCCGAAAGCGTTGACGACGAAGATTCTGGTTTCAGATTCGAGAGATCGGTCGACCATGACACGGTAGGTTTGGTATACTTTTGGATCTTCGGCATTCTCAAACTCATCACTTTCCATGAGAATTGTAGAGGTGGCGGTGAGTTGATCCTGCACTTTGGCAGCTGGGAGCAAAGAAAGAATAGTCATTCCAATGGTACAGGCAAGAAGGAAGATGAGTCCAAAGGCGTATGGAAGTGGGACGGCGGAGAAGAAGCTCAAGTTAAAAATGGCATTGATTATCGAGAAGAAGCAGAAGAGTGGGGCAACTTTAGCGTAGCTGGAGAGGGATTCGTTTGCTTTCTTGACCAATTTGATGAGCTCTTTTTGACGGAAACTGAACTCGGAGATGACTGTGTGGTCCTGGAATACAAGAGATGATTGGGAGAAACTATTGAAGAATTCCTACTTTGAGTTTCTTTTCTTCGCTAGCCTTCTGCAATTCCTTATTGAAGTATTCGATTTCGCGGGTCATTGAGAATTGAACGAGAGCGTAGAATGCGAGACAGGAGAATGTGATGATCCAGACAAGGAATGCAAGAGCAGGGAACAAAGAATACTTGTAGGCTGGTTCAACCGCTCTGAAAGTCATAGAAATTTGCAAATTTCAAACAACAAACTTCAACTAACCCTGAGATCAGAATTTTTTCTTGAAGAGCATTGAAAATAGCAGTGAATGCCAAAGTTCCCAACCATGGAAGCGAGAAGAAGAATGCCTTCTTTCTCAACCCACTGTATTCGTCAATCTCGTCGTTTGGCTCAACGCGAAGCACACGGACCTGGTTGAGTTGTTTGAGATAGTTTGGAATGAATGCGTTGGCAGTCCATCCCATGACACAAAAACTGCAGACGACTGCGTGGAATCCCATGAATCCGAAGACGTTAGATTCAGACCAGTTCAGCGTCAGAAGCTTTCCTTCTTCGCCAAGGAATGTGAATGTTCGGTAGAACATCGAAATGATCACAAGGATGGCGAAGAGCCTGGAAATTAAAAATAAAATTTAATTTCGAATTTTCTCTTACCTTGCTAAAAATCCAACGATTTTCGATCCTCCATTTTTGGCAGCTGCACATGGTGTGCAATCCAATCCAGTCAACCTTAAACATTAGTTTCAATTTTACATCCAAAATTGAAACCTTGACTCACTTGACGGTATATTTGTAGCAACCCAGAAGGTCCACATTGTCTGACTTCTCTGCAAATCGTGAAGATTTTTCCATGGGGCTAATAAATTCTATTTTCGTTCAATATATTTTTTCAATTAGCTCTATGGAGTTTGAAACTAGCTGGTGTATGGATGCTCTTTATACTTTTTGAAGTAATTGGTGGCTCATACAAAAATAAAGTAAGAGGCGTGGCTTGAATAAAGTAAGAGGCGTGGCATTGATTACAAAAGAAGAATAGGCAGAAGGTAACCACAAAAACAATAAAAACACTCATTGATTAAACAAAACTTCTCAACCAAGCCTGGACGGGGTTGCAACCTAAACTGGTGATTCAAATGTTTCGTTATAAAAATGAAGAAAAAGTTGAGAGAGCAAAAGAACAGAAGACACATTTACTAACCGCTGATAAAAGATGAGGGGGCGAATCCGAGTTCCGAGTTTTCCTTCGTCATTTAACGCCCTCTCACTAAAGAATATGAAGCAAGTTCGAAGCCTTTTATGGCTTTCTCGAACACGGTTTTTCGGTTTTTACGGTTGCAAAGTGACTCATATTAAAACTCGGTTGGTTTTTAACGGAACGGTTAAGCACAGACCACAAACGTGATTGAAAAAGAGAAGCAGGAGGAGGAGGAGTGGATAACGGAAAACGAGAAGAGTACACTCACGAATCGGAAGTTTCAAAGGTTATCGTACTCTACTTAAAGGGCTTCAAACATCAGTGTGTGATGATAATGTTTCAGTTAGGTAAAAACATTTTAAGATGTTTTATGCTTCGATGTGAATTCTTTAATAAATCTGCCAAGTTTTCTATTTCATTATGTATTCAATATATCCAAATTTCAGAAAAAAATTGATGACAATTTCTAGGAAATTTTTCACTGATTTCTTGTTTTTTAATAAATTTATTAGATTCATACAATAGTTTGAGACAATTTAATATGCTTTTTTTAAGAACCTGCAAAAATCACTTAACATATCATTCTGGAAACTTCACCAAAATGATAATAAAAATAAAAAAATTATATGAAACATTCATAAATTAGGCCACTTCGAAAATTGGTTTTTTAAATTGTTTCCAAATAAAATTATAAGCCCTTTTCTCTGACTAAACAGAAATCTAATCACAGAAAAGAGAATAAGCAAGTAACTAAATTGGAATATGGGATTCGATTTTTTAAAAATCGATCCGAATTGTTTCTCTAAATTAGGTTATTGAAGTTTTTTGATGATATTAGTTTCGAATGACTTTAAAAAACAACTCACCAGTGGACCCATCGACCAACATGTCGGATTGTTGAACTTCTGCAGCCTTCATTCCGGTCATGAACAACTACTACTAGAAGCTGAAAGCGCTTTTTGGAATAGAATGAACCACAGACACAAACGAATTAAATAAAAAGGAAAAGAGACAGAGAAATGGGGTTGGTCAGAGGCAATATGTAAAATGAAATGTCGGTGAAATATTGAAATTTGAAACCCCCAACCTGGACACTCATTCTGTATATTTTGTGCATGTGCTTTGTGACTTGTAGCAATCATGTAGGTTATGAGTCTCTGTCTGTGACTAATACTTCTCTCTTCACAGAAACTCGACAATAGACAGCGTCGGAACAGAGGAATAAATTTGTCATCGGACGTCTTTGACACATTTTCAATTCCTCACCATTCAAGTGATGATATATTCTCACCTCAAAGATCACAACGGGAGTGGAAATTATTAGAACGAGGTGATCAATTGGTCAGGTGCCGGGAAAAATAATAGAGCAGGTGGTTTGGAACTAGAGCAAGTTAAAAAACAAGCTAGAAAATAAATAGGAGATGAGAAACCAGCTAGACACCAGCTGAAACCAGGTATGATTACTAGGAAATGTGAAAACAAAAAGGCAAGGTACGGTAATCAAGACGGACGATGATTTCTGGGAATGTAAACATTTGGGTCGTGTTCTAGAAATATTCAAGACCCTTTCTTATTAAAATAAAAGTCTTGTTGAACTAAATAAAGACTAAAAATTCAAACAAATCTATTCACCCTAGACACTCTAATAGAAGGCCACCTTACACTTTGAACTCAATTCTCTCAGTGTCTATTAAAGATAACAAAAATCTGTAAACTGACAAAATATTTGACATAGCTTTTATGATAGAAACTCTGGCTTAAACCATTTTGATTTCACTTCAAAATATATAGAGAATTAAGAAAACTTTTTTGGTTTGTTCCATAGCGCCTGTATTAAAGACCCTACCGGTCCTAGGATTTTTTGGAAAAATATCGTCTCAATGACTCGAGGTTCCACTAACTCTCTCCATGTTATCTAATTTTTATATGCTTCATTCTAATCTAAACAACATATTTTCTATTCATAGAAAAAATATTGACCACTAGTTTACACATGGGAAGTTGTCTATTTCGTCGGCCAAAATACGAAAATGGGAAAATTTGATCCGCATCAAAACGATTAGTCTGTCGAGAAACCAGTTTTCATAAAGGTGTTTGAAGCATAACGAGGGATTGGAAAAAACGACACAAATCACATTTTGATATAAACTATGTGTTGTACATATCATTTATATTTAAAGGTGTGAGAAATTCAAGATAAGGACAACTGATGATAAAAATCTGTGGAGCACAAGGAGCACAAACTGGAACTACAAGAAGAGCGTAGTGGCAATAAGAGAAACAAGCATAGTTAGAAAATGAGAGAACTCGGAGCAGACCTTTGTGTTAAACAAATAACTTTCTTTTTCTTTCTTTTTTTTTGAAAATCAAATAAAGAAATTTTGGAATTGGTCGGCAAGTTCAAAGTAACGCCCAAAGTCCTGAAGTACATGGTACTGATCTTTTGAATAAAAATTTATCACAAGAGCACAAAAATCACATGAATGAAACTTACATCAAAAAGGGGTGGGATCAGTAAGATCATCAAAATATCATATTTTGATCAGTGCTATTTTGATAATGAAAATGCTGACAAATCGAGAAAAGTGTGAGCCATATTTCGAGTTCAATGGGAAAGGATAATCTTTGAAAATCTTACCTCACAAGAGATTTGGCACATATCAGAAATCTGTTTAGAGAGGAGAGAGGGGAAGAGCAGATAAATAGATAGATCTAGAGGTTTTTTTCAAATTTTCAAATTATAAGCTGCAAATAGAATAAACAAAAAAAATAGAATAATTGGGAGTATTGTGAACTAGACAGATTAGCTGAAGACTTATGAATCTTTCTGAAATTTCACTTACGAGCCAGTAGAGTTATCTCAAAGAATTCTCGTATGATCCGAATTCTGACTTGAGATGTATTGAAGAAATTCTCTAGGGGAGTTTTGCAAACAACTAGACAGAATTAACTGAATACTAAAGATGACCAACATCATTTTATACCAGATGAAGGTCATCCGACCATTCTGCTAATCAAATCACAATCATTGCGCAATAAGGTGTCATCCTAACAAAAAAAAATCAAAAAAATAGGCCCTATTCTCTGTGAAAATTCAAAAATGAATGGAGGCGGCACAAACTACGAAATGGCTGTACTAACTAAGATTGCCAGAGAAGTCAAATAGTCGGTCAAAAAAAAAAAGAATAGGCAAACACTTGTCGTCTCGTCTCTTCCTGAAGTTTCTATTGTTAGAAACGAAATAACATTGTGGTTTCCCCCGTTTTCAAAATGAACCGGGGTTTCCTTGGTAACTCATGGACATATACGGAAAATATACGTAAATACGGAGAACGACGGAAGAAAGATACGAAATGAGAGGGGAAATGAGTTGGTTGCTCAGAGCGGTAGGGAGCAGGTGGATTTAATGAAATGAAGGCGTGGTCTGCGTTTGGACCCAGAATTATGTGTCTTACTTTTAGAAATTGGAGCACGAGCATGCTGACAAATACGGATATGTAGACATCAGTTTCAACGGAATGCACCTGATGAAATTGAAGTTAGGTTTTTGAGGCTTTAGACCTCTTGTAAGGTCCAGCTGCATAACATTAATCGAAAATTAGTTGAAGTTAACTTAACCTTATTCTATAAGCGACTTCTTAATTAACGTTAATTAAAATATCCGGATTCCAACTCAATCGAGAACTTTTCCCCGATCGTGTGGGAAAACGAGTTTGGCGGGAATGATAACTGGAATACCACTTACCCCGACTCTAGCCATGTTTTGGATTAAATTTCCGTCTAATAGTGTAGAGAATGGCAAAAATTCCTTGTGAATACCGAAAATACCAGAAAACATAGAGCCGGCCCTACCATTGTTCCCAGGTACCTCCGAAGGGCCCTTCAATTAGCCTTGCTCTTCTACTAATTGGACCCTTCTATTAATGGGGACCCTTTTAATACAGGTTTTACGGCAAGCCCTAACTAAGGTTTTATGCCAGTTAATGTTCATGACATAACTTCAAGAAATTTTTCTCTTCGAAAGAATGTTTGCTTGTAACAGTTTTAACTTCGTCCATGGGAAATATTGAACTGTCGGTGACAGTATGATAGTCAATGGAAAGGACAGTGACATTTTTATTGAAGTAAAAGGTTCAAATATAGAATGACTTTTCCCATATTTATGAGAACCTATTATTCTTTAAAAATTTTTATTTTTGAACTAAAAATTTTTATTTTCTTAAATACCAGGTCTTGTTATTTTTGTTATCCAAAAAAATACATTTGAAAAGCAGGAAAGAAAAAGAAAATTAGTAATGAACGGGAAAAGGGAAAACCCACTGTTAGTAATTAGATGAATGTTGGACAAGAAAATGATTTAGATCGTATTTAAATAGTCGATATTTGAATGTCGCGGACAAGGGCTTCACCGGAAACACTTCTACCGGTAGAGAAATTCAGCATCTAACGACTAACGTTGTTTCAAACATTGCTTTGAATAAAAATTTTTGATTCTTGTTAATTGAAGAGTTTTCATAATCTAGTTTACAACTCAACAAGTTTTCTCATGAACTAATAAGACTCTGTACAAACTGTATTGAATGTTTGGAAATAATTTTATTTTACAAAAACGCTGACAGTATCAAAGTTTTAAAGAGATCAGTGGTGAAAAACACAAATTCATATATACAATTCAGTCGTTGTTCTGACTTAGACTTGAACACCATGATTGACTAGCACCTTCTTGACTAGTGCTAACAAATTTCCTAAATTGGGAAACAAAAACATGGCAAGATTCACGGCAGTTGGATAAATTGGAATCGCTCCAAGCACTCGAATATACACATTGTGCTTCAGAGATCTGTTAATCATGACTTGGTATCCTTTGAATACTTCTGAATCTACTGATTTCTCGAATTCTTCACTATCCATTAGAACTCTAGCAGTGTCCCCAAGATGGAATTGCACATTGCCAGCTGGTCGAAGCGTCATAAATGAAATGGCAAGAACTGCGAAGAGATTGAAAAGGAGAATGGCAAAGAAGACCGAAGGAAGATCATCAGTGAATCTGAAAGTATTTTGTTAGGAAGGACGTCAAAAGGACGCTGATCTTTTTTGTTCTTCGACTTGTTTCTTCGCTAAAAAGTGCGATTGCACTTTAGGTGTTAATATTCTTTGAGCCAATGCACTTGATTTTAATCATTCAAAAATTCTAAATTTAGTATTGTTTTTAATTTAGATCCAAATCCGAACGAACATCCGACTCACCCGCTAGCAATATATACTGCGTTTATACAGCTGTTGAAACAAAACATCGGAGCGACTTGGACATAGCTTCCCAAAGATTCATTTGCTTTAGCCACCAAACGAAAAAGTTCTGCTTGTCGATGAGAGAAATCCATGAGAGTAATGGGATCATGTAGACGTTTCTCTTGTTTAGCTTCATCCAATTCTACGTTGAAGTACTCGATTTCTCTTTTCAAAGAAACATGGACAAGGAAGTAGTAAATTAGACAATGAGTTACGATAAAACATGACAAAAGAGTGAGAAATGGCATTGCGATGTAGAGTGGAGCAATCACTGGTTTTCTGGAATACATATATTATTCAATTACAGAAGTTTGATTCAAGCTACCGTACCCCGAGATGAGAATTTTATGAGTAGCTGCACTGGCGATAGCATGAGAAAGAAGTGCCAGAAACCAGAATGCTGACCAGATGAATGCTTTTCTATGAACACTTGAATAATCATCAATTTCCCTGCTTTCCTTAACTCGGAGTGCTCTGACTTTGTTCAATCTTGAAATATGAAGAGGTACAAACTCATTCTTGGACCATCCAAAAATGCAAAAAGCACAAACAATCGCATGGATCCCCATAAAAGCAAACATATTGGATTCAGCCCAAGTCAAGGACATTGCTGGTCCCTCTGCTTTGAATATCATTCCACATCGAAAGAAAATTAAAGCAATTACAGCAAGAGCTACGATTCTGGTGATGATGGATCTTATCCGAAGGTTTGGGTTGTTCTGTGCAAGGGCTATCACTCGACAGTCCAGTCCCGTTATTCTGAAAATTGTTTTCTATTGTTTTTGTTTTTGAATATGAATATGGGAACTGGTTTCCGTTTTTCAGTTTGGCATGACTAATCGCCGCAAAATAGTTTGTAACAGTTGGAAGAGTTTTTATTTCGAAAACAAGTTGTGTTTTATTCGAAACTGTGTATCTCTTTTTGTATTTTGCTTCTTGAACATTTTTTTTTTCAAGAAATATACCTAAAACTTTTAATACAAGTGCTACATACTGTCAAGTTTGAGCTCATCTCAACTGCTTTCTATTATAGGTTTCATGGTATTCTTGACATGAAAACTAATTTCAAGATCCATGTTAAGAAGAAGAGAAAAGAGAAAAAAAACTTACTTGATCGTTTTACGAAAAGGCCCGACTAAATTTTCTTCCAAAAGAGGCTCCTTCACTTCTGGCATAATAACACTAGACGTACGAGAACGGTTCGTCTCGTCTTCCATGCTTTCCGTACTTGGATTGATCATTTTGTTACAGCCAAAAACCGATAAGGACGAGCAAATGATGTATACCTTCTAACAATTATTGTTTATATATGAAGAGATGAATGTTTCCGCCTCGACTTCCGTGACTCCTTCTAGCTGACACAAATCACACTTTTGGCCGTTTCTCGAGATGGGAAGGACAAGCTCAAGCTTTTCAGGATAAACTTCTCTTGACCGAGAAGTAAAAGGGACGGTGTAATTTCAAAGTTTTTTTGTTTTTCGGAAAAGATGGAAGATCAATTAGTATTAGAGTAAACAATCGGGGGAAAGTGATCGCTGCAACATCGGATGAGTCAGTGGTTTCCCCTCCCCCCCCCCCCCTAGTGTGATTTCTGTCTGGATCAATAGAACGGAGAATGGCTGCAAAAAGACAAATATGTAATATAGGAATTTGATTTCAAAAAGTGACTCATGTATCTCTCGTGATCAAAATTGAACTTTTTCCAGTGATAACCTTTTTAATTTCTGATCGTTAAACCGGAGCGAACTTATCACTGTTTATGTTTACTGCAAATGTGATATCATCAAAAGCAGATTAATATTAGTTTGTGGTTGTGACATTTTTTGATGTCTAAAGTGATTTTTGACAGTCAAGGATATGTGTAGGAAGAATATTTATGATTGACCAGTCATAAAACCAATAGCAATATAATAATATGCATAAGATAGCTGTTGATATTATCATTTAAGAGTTTTGTGTACAAAATTATATATAACTCTTTATTTACATTTTTCTAAAAGATGCCAAGTTAATGGTGCATTTCTAACCCATATGAATGAAGTGACTTCTTCACAAAAGACAGTAAAATTCCTAAATTTGGAATAAAGAACATTGCAATGTTAAATGTAGTTGGATATATTGGAATTCCTCCGAGAACTCGAAGTCGAGCAGTGTGCCTCAATGATCTATCAATCATGACATGATAAGTGTTGATTACATCCGAATCATTTGATTTTTCGAATTCTCGACTTTTCATCAAAATTCGAGAAGTGTGTTGTAATTGGAATTGCACATTACAAACGGGTTTCAAGCTGAAGTAGGTCATGAAAAGTGTCGCAAATACATTGATATTGAGAATAACGGCTTGTATGAACGGTAGATTGTCGTGAAACCTGTAAAACGAAACAGTGAAATGAATAGCAATCCGAAGAATCAGGAACTCACGAGAAGAAGACGTAGACCGCCATTATACACGAGTTGAAAAGTGAAATCGGTGTAGTACATGTATACCCACCGACACTTTTATTAGCATTTCGAACCCAATCGATTAACTCGCATTGTCGATTACTAAACCTTGAAATCAAATCCGAATTTGCCAAATTCTTCTTCTTTTGAGCTTCCGCCAACTCTGAATTGAAATATTCAATTTCCCGAGTAATCGAACAATTGACTATAAAAAAGCAGTTGAGAAAAACTGAAACATGGAAGCAAACCAGTAGCGTTATAAAAAGAATTTCATAGAATAGAATAGGATATATCGTATGGCTGCGAAAATATCACGATTTGAACAAAAATTGAATGATCTGAAAACTTACCCACTCAAAATCACTTTCTCTTGAACTGCACAGGCTACTGCATGAGCCATAACAATAACTGTCCATATTGTGGTCCATCCCAGGATTTTAAAATGAGCCGTAGAATAATTATCTAGCTTCTCATTATCTTTGATTCTGAGTTGTCTAACTTCTTCTAGTTTCTCCAGGTGACTAGATATGAAATCTCGCCTCGTCCAGCTGAATATACAATAAGCGCACTCTACAGATTGAACTCCCATAAATGCAATCATCCCACTTTCAGCCCATTCTAAACTCATCGAGTTCACAGAAAGTTTCAGCTGGAAAAATGTGTAACATCGGAATACAATCACCGCAATAAGGATCAATGCGAATAACTGGGAAATCCACGCTCGAAGTTTGTATCGAGGATCAACTTTGGAAAGAGCCACAACAGAGCAATCAAGTCCTGTGAATCTAAAATAGTGTGGATAGAAGCAATTGATTTTAAAGAAATCAAAACTTACGGAACAAGAAATCCGAGTGGTCCTAAAAACTTTCCAAAAGTGATTGGCTCTTTAATTTCAGGAACTTGGATACAAAACGTGCCCGGCGGAATTTTCACAACTTCGGATTTCGACTCAAACATAGGTCAAGAATATATGAAAAATGGGAAGAACAATGAATGAAGTATGTTATCCCTCCAACGCCATCATTCCAGTTGATATCCGCCCAGAAGCCAACAAGAGCACAAATCATATTTGAGATTAAAATCGTGAGAAAAACATTGGCATAGAAAGTGTGACCAAAATTTTCTAAATCGGATATGTATGTAATTTGGTAGACCTTGTGAGAATATGCTTCGAGAGTAAAATAATATTTATAGAGTGTCGTTGTTGGTATTTTTGAGGAAACTACCGTATTTGCTCTAATAGAAGCCCATCCTATGAGTGCAGCTTGAGCTTAATTATCTCAGTTCCTTCAAAAGATATCAAAATTTTGTCAACTGACAAAATGTTTCTCGTAAAACTAGCAGAATGTTATCTGTTGACAAGTTTTTGATATATTCTGAAGGAACCGAGATAATTGAGCTCAAAGTGCACGCATAGGGTGAGCATCTGAAAGAGAAAATTCGGTATTACTGGTTTAGAAGTTTTCAGGTGACTGTGTTGAATCCCAATTTATGTGATAGACAAATTTACAGTATTGATTCGCATTTATTCATGAAAACTTCTGTCATATTTGTTTTTTCCCTTCGCAATTTCATAATGCCAAGTCACAGAATATGTGCTCATTCAGAGAAGTTGAGCATCAAGGTTCTCATACGTTCGTTTCCTGAGCTCTCAAAGTGACTAATGTATGACGCAGCTGTCCATTCAGAGTTTTTGTACTTGTACTTCAAGTCAAAGAACAACAAATAAAATTAATTTAAAGGAATATGTACAAAGCTAGAGATTCATACACATACAAAGAGTTTTATTTGCAGCATTAAGATGTTCCTGTAGAGCACAAGTTGGGAAATCAGAGTGTATTTTCGTTCCCAGTTCTTCATTCTCATCTTTTTATTCCCGATTTCTCATTTTCAATTTTTTTTTCATTTCCAATGTTTCGCTTGTTATTTTTTTACTCTCATTTTATATTCTTAATTTTTCACTTCATTTTTATTTTCAATTTTTTGTTCCCAAATTTTTCTTTGTTATTTTTCATTTCCATTTTTTTCTTATTCATTTTCGTGCCCAATTTTTCATTTCAAATTTTTCCTTCTCTATTTTTTCCTGAGTTTTTTGTTCCTTATTTTTTCATTTTCATTTTTCATTTCTAATTTTCAACGTCAATATTTTAATTCCAAAATTTGTCTGCCATTTTCACGTTTATTCATCGTTTCAAATTTTTCACGCCCAGTTTTCATTCCCAATTTTCTCCTCAAATTTTTCAATTTCCATTCGTTATTTCTCCTTTTTTTTCCTATTTTCACGCACATTTTTTTCAATTCAAATTCTTTATTCCTTATTTTCATTGGTATTTTTCATTCTCATTTTTTATATATATTTTTTATTATCAACTTTTCACTTCAATTTTTTTCCCAATTTTTTCGTTCGATTATTTTATTCCTAATTTTTCATTTAAAACTTTTTTCTGGATTCTGATTTTTCGGTTTCAGTTTTCCGGTTCCGGATTTCCGGATCCGTTTTTTCCGGATTCGTTTCTTCGAATCTGGTTTTCCATAGTAGTCCTTCTTCTAACAGAAGTTCCGTTCGTGAAGTTCACGCAATGCAGTTCGTCTAATTGGTTATTGCAGAAATTTTCTTACTTTTTTTTCAAATGTTCTGTTTTTGGTAATTTCCTGAGAAGGAGATAATCATTTTTATTTGTAGAAGTGAATATATACAAAGTTTGAGATCAAAACTTCACACAACGCCACCATTGGCCACAATAACTTTTTTGATCATGACAAGAATAAATCCGATATTCGGAATAAAAAACATAGCAGCTGCTAAAACTGGTTTGATAACTGGGAAGGCGCCAACCACATGAATATGAGTGTCAATTTTTTGAATTCGATCAACCATAATTCGATAGGTTTGGTACACTTTTTGGTCCTTGGAACTTCCCAATTCATCGTTATTCACTAGAATTTTATTGGTAGCATTCAGATGCTCCTGTAGAGCACAAGTTGGAATAAGAAGGATCAGATTGTAGGCAAGTATGGCGGCAAGAGTGAACATCAAAATTGCAAAGTAGATAAATGAAATGTTTTCAATGAACCTGAAAATATTATAGATCTTGTAATCCCTTGAAGATTCAAAACTTACGAAGTCAGATAAATTCCATTAATAATACCATAAAACAAAAACAGGGGCACTAGTCCTCCAAAAAATGAAAGGGAATGATTGACAACCGTTATAAGATTCAAAATTTCGAACTGTCGAATGTCAAACTTCTCCAAAACTCCTGGATTTTTTAATATCTTTTCTTTCTTGGCTTTGTCTAATTCCTCATTGAAATAAACAACTTCTCTATTGACTGCAGAGAATACCAAAAAATAATAAGCAAGAGAAATGGAAGAAATGAACCAGATATAGAAATTGGATCCAACCATTAAAGAAGTAAAAATTATGTTCGATTCAGCTCTGAAATTCAGCGGTTACTAAAATTCTAAACCTTTAGAACTCACCCTCCATAGAAAATAGTTCCTTGGAAAAAATTGAAAAGTGACCAAGAAATGGTTGCCACCAACCAAGGAATAGAAAGTACCAAAGCCAAGGCATGAACTTTTTTATAATTATCCAAGTCAGGATTGGTTTCCAATCGTAATGTTCTGATCAATGATAATTTTTCAGAAAAATTTTCAATAAATCTGTGTCTGGTCCATTGGAATATAGAGATGCCACAAAATTGAATGAAAATAGCTGGGAAACTGAAAAAGTTAGACTCGGCCCAAGCGAATGAGAGGACCTGAAATAAAACAAAAATTAATTTCTGAGGATACTGTAACTGACATTTCCAGTAGACTGTATCATCATAAATCCTACTCGTATTGACAAAGCAATTATTATCAGTACCGCGATAAGACGAGGGACGCATTTCGGGGTTCTGGCGGAACAATCCAGTAGAGTCAATTTCACTAAAATGTGGAATGGACCGAGTAGCTCTGAAACAGCTTCATCTGAAAATCGGAGATTTTCAAACATTTCCCTGTTATAACAGTACCATCCGGTATAATCAATGGTGTCATTGCTGGAGTAGAAGTGTACCTAAAAATAAATTAATTCCTTTTCTTTGTTTAATTTTGGACTAAAGATTCATTCAATCTGATTTCTGTTATAGTAGCCTCAAATCACAAAACAGTTTCAAATCAAGGAAACGCAGATAGTTAGAGAGGTAAAAATTTTTGTAGACGAATCGGAATTAATTTCTCAAGATATGTTTTATAAGTAGAATATTTCTAGACATTAGAAATCTTCAGCAATCACTTGAACAATTATTGTTTAAGAATTCATCAAAACGATGGTCGGAAAAATTCTTCAAAACGCAATAAAACCGAAAAATACCAAACTCACTTGATAACTTTGTTGAATGGATTCAAGAGCATCTGCTCCGACAATCGTCTTTTAATTTCTGGAAACTCAGGGAACTCGGTAAGAGACGAACGAAGCATATTCTTCTTCATTTTGAAGACAGTTCTGATGTTTAAATTTCTAGTTGTGATAAGACGGAAAAATCGAAAAGTGCTGACTGAAAATTTTGCGAAAGTTGTTATCGGAGAAACGAATGTTGTAATCTACTGATGCATTAAAACTCCAAGATTGCGGGAAAATCGGTCCTATTTTCGAGATTTGGCCAGACCACAATGGGGTCTATGTCTACTAAAAGTCTTCAGGAAATATGGAGCATTTTTGAACAAGTTATATTTTTATAAATGTTTTTAGAACACTGAAAATTATAGTCTGTTCAGCAAAAGACACAAAACAACAGAACTGCAGAATCGGTTGATGATAAAAATGTGTTGAATAGCAAATAAGTGTTGAAGAAATTTGAAAAAGGAACAATTGTTTGGCGGGAAAATATGAAAGTAAAGAATTTTATTTTCAAAAAAATGTACTTTCCAGGGAGCATACAAGTGAGAAAAATCGAGATCAAATATCTTAAACGTGACCACCATTTGCAATGAGAACTTTTTTTACCATGATTAACAGGAAACCGAGATTCGGTACAATGAATGAAGCAGCAGCTAAGAAATTTCTTGTGATTGGGAATGCACCGATTACAGCCATTCTTGTGTCCACTTTCTGCATCCGATCAACCATAATACGGTAGGTTTGATAGACGATCGGATCTTTGGAACACTCGAACTCATCATTGTTGATCAAAATTATGTTAGTGGCTGTAAGATGCTCCTGAAGAGCACAGGTTGGGAAGAGAATGAATGCGTTGTAGATAATAACGGCGGCCAGATTGAACATCAGCATTACAAAGTAGAAGAGCGGCACAGAGTCCATGAATCTGAAAATCCATTTTCATTGATTCTCAATTTAAAATTGAAACGTTCAATTAATGTTTAACTACGATTTTCAATCTACAAACTTTGTATTCCCAGAGCCATGTGCGCCGATTAAACTTTTGTTTGATAAAATGATTTCTGAGAATCAAAACCTTTGACAACAGGTCATAAATTGTGTGCTCGCTGGGAGAAGTTTCTTTTTCACAAAGCTAATTGTAAGCTCATTCAAGAAAACAAGCAGAGAACGTGTGTCTTGCACTTACGAAGTCAAGTAGACGCCGTTCGCCAACGCATAGAACAGGAATAATGGAGCAAAAGTGTTGAAACTGGAAAGAGATCCGTTTGCTAGAAGAATCGTCTCCAGTATTTGGTTTTGACGAAAATCAAATTTCTCCAAGACGCCAATGTTTTTCAGAATCCTCTCTTCCTTTGCTCGTTTCAGTTCTTGATTGAAATAGTCGACTTCACGAGTCACGGCAAGAATTACCAATAGATAAACGGCAAGGCATATGGTAGAGATGTACCAGATGTAGAAGTTAGAAACCGCAAGAATCACACGGAAGAAAATATTGGTCTCCTCACTGAAACCATTTAAGTTGATGTTGGTCGCTGTCAGAACAGTTCACTTACCCTCCGTAATAAATCTTGTTGTGTGTGAAGTTATAGACAATCCAAGACATCATGGCTAGCAGCCAAGGGATTGAAAAAATGAGAGCGAGAACTTGCATCAAACGGTAAGAATCTAATTTTGAATTTGACTCCAAACGAAGCATCCGAACTCTGACTAGTTTTTGACTGAATTTTGGAATGAATCCATTTTTAGTCCAACCAAAAATACAAAGAGCAGAAACACAAGCAAAGATAGCAGGAAATCCAAAAAAGTTAGATTCGGCCCAAGCAAAGGATAGAGACTAAAAAAATCCAATTTATCTGGCTTGTAATAAACTGTCACCTACATTTCCTTTGGTTTCCATTAACTGACCAACCCTGGCAAAAAGTAGAACAATTATGACCATGGACAGAAGAATAGTGAAAACTTTGAGGCATTTTGATTTTGCCGAGCAGTCAAGCAACGTGAATTTTATCAAGAATCTGAACGGACCTAGCAGTTCAGAAGCTATGTCATCTGAAAATTTGTGAATAATCGAAATCATTCATACAGAATCTAATTACCATCGAAGGAAGATACTGGGAGAGCAGACATTTCAAAAGTTTTTTTTTCAGTAAGCCTTTGAAATTCGAAAAAACTATTCAGAAAGAACCTTTATATCTCCCTTCCCTCTGTTTTCATAAGCCATGCCCCAGCCAGCACAAATCATACTCAGCGGAGGAGAGCGACCAAACAAACGAGACGCAGACACAGATGCGGATCGAAATGTTGCAGGAAACACCAAATGAGTCATTCGAAATATTAAAAGAGAAGATGAAATAGTTTACAGTATCCGAAGAGACACTTTTGAGATTAGTACACAATATATTTCCGATTTATCTGCGCAACGTTGGCAATTCTTATGTTCAATTGGCTACAGTAATATTCAATCTAACAAAAATTTTTATCAAGAATTACGAGACGCAGACACATAGGCGCACCGAAACGTTGCACGGAAGACCAGGAAGAACAAGAACGAAGTGACGGCAGGTTCATTTTCTATGACTTTTCAGAATGTAGAGTAAGTGAGTCACTTGAAATATTGAAAGAGAAGATGAACTGTTTCCGAAGAAAACCTTTCGAGATAATTGTTTTATAATTACACAACATAATTACTGTAACTGAACATTTTGGAATTACTGTACCTGAACTTTTTTTGACATCAAGTGATGTATTCAGTTTTTATCGCAAAATGCCAAACGCAACATAAAAAAGTCCTATCAAATGAGCCTATGGGAAATATTCTATGTTTCTGTAGTCCACTTGCAACTTTCACAAGGGAACCTCAACATCTCGTTAACCCAGATTTTGATGAAAATTTGAGATTAGGTAAAGGATAAGCTATTAAAAATTTTTTTGAGAACTCGAAAAATATCAGAACTCGCTGGGACCTTCTAGAAGTTGAGAAAATCGTCCAGAAATTGCTGTTTTGCACTGAAAGGGCGATCTTTGGTACTGAGACTAATATCACTCGACTGAAACTGGCGAGCGGATTCTGAATTTTTCAGAGGTATCTCATTGTCAATCTATCATGAATATTTCATTAATCTGGGTTTTCGAGGTGTTGAGTTTCCCTTGCTAAAAGATCTTCATTCAGACCAAAAAACATTCAAAGACCTTTTATACGATTGATCTATTCATTTCTAAAGAAACTTCTTAACTTACAGAAAACGGCTTCGAAACCGATTCTTGAACTTTTCGAACTTTTCAATAGAAACATTTTTCGATTCGTCATTTTTCTCCCGGCACATTTTCTGTGTTCGAAAACTGAATCATTTTTGACCAACGTAACATCTGAATTCCAAATTAGTTCTTGAGGTGATCTCTATCTTCTATCTCTTGACCCCCGTCACTGATAAGTCAACGTCTGATAACAACGAGTAATAGTTATCACACTCCGCCCAACACAAGATTCAGTGTCTTTCATTCTTTTACCATGCGTCTCTCAATTCTGTATTTTGTGTTCTTCTTCAAAACTGAGCCACTTTTGACCATTAAACATCTGAATTCTAAATTACTCTTTGATTCGGTTCTTGGATTTTCTATGTCTTGACCCCCAGTCGCTGATAAGTCAACGTCTGATATCAAAGTGTATTAGTTCATTAGTTATCACACTCCGTCCAGCAAAAGATTCAGTGTCTTCCATTCTTTTGGCATGCGTCTCTTATTTCTGTATTCTGTGTTTTTCTTCTATTATTCAGAAGCTTTCAATTTCTTGGTTATTTCTCCAATCTATAGTTATAGTCATGTGAAGTTTATGAGCAATATAGCTGATAAACTGGCTGACCATGGACATGAAGTTGTAGTTTTTCAACAGCAAATACTGGAATCTTTGAGAGATAAAAAAGTTATAAAGAATCCCTCTGTTAAGGTAAGATTTGAAAATTATTTTAGCAAAAGTAGTTCTACAGATTATTAACTATGAAGCTGGTGATGCGGGTAAAGAGTTTTATAAAACTAGACCAAAAAGCACTGTGAGTAAGTATTGGACAACTAATCAAGCTACTACACCTTGGGCTGCTGATCAGTTCGCGGAGACTATGAGCAAAGATTTGGAGCACATGTGTCTGCGTAAGTCTTTATTATGTATGGTCCCACCAAACAAAACCGAATTCAGAATTTCAGAAATTTTCAAAGACAAAAACCTGCATAACCAATTAAAGAAGGAGAAATTCGATGTAGTAATAGCTGAGCCATTTGATCCTTGCGGACTCTGTAAGTATATTGGAATCGATAAATGTGTTAAACTTAAAATTTCAGATCTGGCGGATTATTTGCAAATTCCATCAACGATCGTGGCTATGGCTTCATCTAGAATCGAACCAATTCAATGGGCTGTCGGACAACCAAGTGGTCTAAATTTCATTCCAGGACCAGGAAGCGCATATGGAAAGAGCTCTGGAATATGGGATCGTGTGAATAATATCTGGATGTTTATCATGAGAACTAGAATGTTCAGAACTGTGTATTGGAATCTGTTGGATACACTCCGAGAACAAACTGGAGTAGTGATTAGAGACATCGATGTAAGTCTCGATTTTTCCAAATTTTATAAATCTAAAGTTCAGGAAATTGTGGCTGATAGTGCTTATTTATTTTTCAATTCCAATCCATACCTGGACTTCCCTTTCCCTTCATTGACCAAATGTGTTCCAATCGGTGGATTCTCTATGGACATTTCTTCTTGGAAATCGGAAAAGTTGCCAGATGATTTGCATAAGCTGTTGGACGAACGATATAAAACAGTGTACATTTCTTTTGGATCTATGATAAGATCAAGTGATATGCCCGATTCGTATAAGTAAGATAATTAAATTTTTGTATTTTTCGGTAACAATTTTTCAGAAGCGGAATAATTGAAATGATGAAGTCGATGCCTAATGTCAATTTCATTTGGAAATATGAAGATGGAAACGACCAAGAATTCAAGAAAAAGCTTCCGGAAAATGTTCATCCGAAGAAATGGCTCCCGCAACCTGCTTTGTAAGGTTAGTTCCAGTTTAAAATTTTTCTCTGATTCTAGAGTTTCAGCGGACCACCGCCTTTCCTTGTTTATCACTCATGGTGGCCTCGGAAGTGTAATGGAAGTCGCCTATGCTGGAATTCCAGCTATCGTCGTACCTTTGTTTTTCGATCAACCAATGAATGGAGAAATGCTTAAACGGCATGGAGGAGCAGAAGTTTATTCGAAATTCGATCTGGGGAACTCTCAGAAATTAGCAGATGTTGTCCAAGAAATGTTGAAACCGGAATACGCTATAAATGCATTACGGCTTTCGAATCTTCTCCAAAAACAACCAATAGATCCAGTGAACCGTCTCATTAAGCATGCGGAGTTTGCTGCGGAATTCAAGAAATTTCAAGAATTAGATCCTTATTCTAGACAACTTAATTTTGCTCAATACTTCTTTATCGATATTTTTGTGATCATTTTTATTATGTTTGCTACAGTACTTATGTTCTTTAAGTTTATCATTAACCGATTATTTTATAAGTCGGTCCCCAAACCAAAAAATGAATAGTGTCGAACTTAATAAATTTGAACTGTTGTGCTTTCGAACCAATATCCCACTCAAAAAAAAAGTTTGCTTTTGTGTGGGTTTTGTGTGTGAAGAATTGGATTTGGATAGAGTTCACTTGGTTCAACACCGGAAAAGAAAATGATGTCAGAACAAAGAAAAACCAGTTAAAAACTATTCGAAGTATGTGTTCACTGTGAAAAAGTTAAGTAGGCAAACAAATCAATGTTTTACACAAAAACATGGTAAATTTGTTTGTTTTCTATTTTTTTTTCAGAATTTTCATAATTTTTTCAGATATTGTGTAGAGAATCTGAAGTGGAACACTTTTAAATGTAATTGTTTCTGAAGATAATATCAAAAACATTATGTCAACACTTTTTGATATCATGCATAAGAGCGAAGAGAAGGGCTAGAAAAAATATGTAGAAGAGCCACTGTAATAGAAGCATTCTATCCAAAAATTGTTTTGAATTAAACAATTCCGTGCGTTTTCAGAAAAATATTCCGCGAGTTCACAGAGATTTGTTGAAATCCCCTTTAATTGAAGGCCATTTGTAATAGGGTCCTGAAGCTACCATGGAACAATATCATGGCCGGCCCTTTCAACACTTCGTTTCGGCGATACGAGGTCAAACAGTAGTCCGCTATGCAGGCTTTTTTTACACGGCGAATTTTTTATGACGGTGAATTTTCTAAAGTAAATGCGCTCTAACGCGAATACTGTAGTTAAGCGCGCTGAGTATCGACGCACATGCTGAAAAATGAATTACTGAGTCACTACACAGCGAATTTAGCCTAAAGAAAAAAAGGGGGTACGACGAATTCGAACGTTTTCAAAATCGAACAGACCTAAAATCGAACTGATTCAATTCAGAACAGTCCTTATTTCGCACACGTACCAGAACAGAACGCGGACAGAATCGAACTGTTACAAGTTGTGTTTTTAATTGAAAAACGATTTAAAATTTTGGAAATTTCAAATTTCGAAAAAGGTTGCAGTTTGAATTTTAGGCATCTTAAGTTAAAAAAAAGATGATAGGCCGGAAAAAAGAAAATAGTAAGCGAATTTTATCATATTCCTTGTAGAACGATGAAGGGGACTCGTGGCGCCTTCATTATGTATCCTGTACGAGTCGTCGCCTGTCGTAGGGACTCCATAAAAGCCAGGAATCGATATTGGCTTGATTTTTTTGGCAGAATTCATTATAGATCCATGATAAGGCCGCAGAAGGCAACAACAAGGAGACAGACTTCCACGTGGGATATTAGTCTCTGAACATCAAAATTTTGGCTTAAGTGACGGGGGTACGACTAATTCGAACGAGATTAGAATGTGTTGATCAGATGCGTGTATCTGCCATTTTTGAGCTTTTCGAACTTCCCGCGCTTTAAACTGAATGCGCCTTTAAGCTTACTGTAGTTAAGAGTGGCGGACCCGTTCGCCCAGCTTGTGATTTTTTGTAATCCTAAAACGAATTTTCGGCTTTTTTCACCTCAATTTTCCGATTTTAAATTTATAGAAATTTTGCCGATTTCGCTTG